CGTTATTCCCATCACCGCTAATCATATTATATTAACTACAGTGCAACATACAAACATTGTGTCCTCAAAGCTTTATCACTGAAAGAGTCTGTAAAACTATATTACGTACAGATTTACAAACAAAGTCTGAAAGTATAGCTGCAGAGAAAATTTGAGGGTTAAAACTTCAGAAACCTCTTAAAGTTAGGTTCAATCAGCCAGAATTAAAGCTGTGGATTTCAGGCTTGAGGAAAGTCTGTTTAAAAAAGCCAGACCAAAAATCTGCAAACTCTTTGATGAATATGGAATTTGGCATCATTACAATCAAAATTCAAAAGTAGTTGTTGCATTGCTTTTTCATGCAATGCAAATTCTAAAAATCCAATCTGTCTGTAAAAGGTCTGCACTTTTATTAACCTGAGCTACGTTTTACAAAGCACTTTATAATATGTTCTCATTCACCTACCTGTCATCCAGAGTAACCGGTGGTTCAGTGTCTTATCAAAGGATACTGTTAAACTGCTGAGCATCAAAAACCTTTGATGAATGGATAACCTGGTCTCACCCCTGAGCCTTTATTATACTTCTTTTACATTTTTTTGACTGTTGTACTACCAGTATCAGTCCAGCTGGGATGATTTTGATCATTTTGCGGTTAAAGCAGTGATGCTGTGTAGACCCAGTTTAGTTCTAACTTTTTCTGTGTTTATGTATGGACCATGTGACCCACCTCCAACCTTATATATTGACTTAAGACCAAGCAAGACCAAGTTCTTGGAGGTATTTTATATTTTCTAAATCTGTCATAGAGACTGGGGACAAAACCACGAGACAGGAATTAGGATCTTGGACACTGTATGTGGACTTCTGAACTATTCCTGAGGTTCATATTATTATTTGACCAATGATAGAAGTGCAATAATCACTAACACTTTCTTTGATTAATTTATTTTTTGTGACAACAACCCTGCTTTTAACATAATTAAATCAAGTTACCATGGCATAGGTCTTCGCCTTGCATCACTGCTTGCAGCCCTGTATTTTGTGAAGCACCTGTACACGCTTACAGTGCTCATATTTCTAAGGTAGTGTTGCACATTGTTTGCAATAATTCGTCCAGTAAGTTGCAAAATTGTGATACCACTTCATGGCAATATGAGATGCAGCATAAGACAACTAATAATAATAAACCATCACAACCCCATTGGGTGCGTTAACCCTAATTTTTCACTCATCCATTTTTCTAATCGCTTATCCAATTCAGTGTCATTTGTGCCGGCAGGCTGGAGCCTATCTGAGCTGATGCTGGGTAAGAGGTGGGGTTCACCTTTGGCAGGTCATCTGCCTAGCATGCAGCTAACAGAGAGAGACAGAGAATCATTCATGTTTTCGACCAAGAATCACCAATTAAGTGCTAACCAGTGCACCATTGCCACCAAACCTTTATCATGCCATAATAATATCATTGTGAGTGAAATGAATAGACTACTTTTATCTTACCTTTAATCCTTCCCCTAATTTTTATGTGTTGAACATAGCAAACATTGAATGTTATAAACTATTGGTGAATATGCACATATTGTTTCAGCATTGTACAACATAAACGCAATAGAGGAAAACTCGTGGGAGCTGGAACAGCTTTCATCATGAAGCATGTTCTTGGGACTGACAGAGCAAAGGGATTTTGGAAGTTATGCTGAACTTTTTAACCTCACACACAGAAGCTACCAAATTTTCTCATTTAAAAATCTCTCTGAAGTAAAGAAAAATTTGCCCCTCTTTGTGATCACCGCCCAAAGATGTGCACGTCTCTTCCAAAATAATTAGGTGTACAGCTAATAATGTTCTCCACCACGGGGCTTGAGAAATAATGCTTTTATCACAGATTTTAGAGGAGTTCGAATCAGCCCAAGCAGTTGCAGGAAGGATATGGGATGAGTTTAGGAACATAGTCTTCTTTTACAGACAAGTATTATATTGGATTAAATGAAGCAAGCTAGGTTTTTAACTTGACAACTTGACAATAATATCTAGTAAGGGATTACATTTGCTTTAGATTTCTTCACAATTTTTGTAAAAAACATTTTGAGAAAACAACTGGAGCCTTGATTCTGTAGAGTATAGTTATATAGAAGGAAACATCTGGTTAGTGCAGAAAATCTCTACTGTAATTTATGGTTATCTATCCATAAACCGTGTATTATTGAGTCTTCAGGTCCAACTGATAACAATGTCTCTGAAATAAATGCTTGTTCTCTTTATATATTCTAAAAAGTGAAACTCCTTTACTGACATCTACCTTTACGATGAAGAATAAAATCAGTTGCAAAAAGGAGTGTATTTCAACATATATGCAGGAGATAATCAGTCATTTATGATGAATTATACATCACAAGTACATTTCCTATTTTTAAGCTTCAAAACCTCCAGGGTATTTTGTCATCTGTTCTTTTCAGATGCGATGAAATTTGACACACAAGTGCAACTTTTCATGTAGAACAAAAATATTTCATTAGCTTTTCTACTATATTAAAAGCAGTCATTACTGAGGTTAACTTAGGTTAGTGTCACATTACTGAAAGTGTCAATCAGTGTAAAAGTGTAAAAACCTATTGTGTAACATGGTCTGGCCTTTGTAGGAGTATTTACTTAATTAGAAGTGTTTTGGTACGGACTGGTCTAGATGTAAATTAGAATTGCAGGATGGTTGTGAAGCACCCCGTGAGAGTATTCGTCTGTCAGGTGTCACTATGCTCTCTCAATCTGACAGAATCTTTCTCTTCTTTTTCTCCTTCTCTGAAACAGACCAGAAGACTTCATCTTGGTCTCTGTCTCGAAAGTTCAATGAAGGCAGACGCCTCCCTCCATCCAGGAACATGAAGGGCTTATCGGGCAGCCGCTCCCAACATCAGATTCCTCTACCCCACGGCTTGGACTATGATCCCCACGTCCATGACATCCACACTCACCATGGCGCTGACTCCCGCCACCCATCCTACCTGCTCAGCCCCACAGAGAGCTGCCCTATGGACTTCCACCACCGCTACTCACCACGCAGCTCCATCCACTCCGACTGCATGATGATGTCCCCTGTCATGATGCCCCCAGCTGCTGCATCTGACCACATCTCCAGTAGCACCTTCCCCAGAATGCACTACAGCTCTCAGTATTATGACTCAGCCACACGGGACGACTGTGCTGCCATCACAGCCTCCGCCACATCCCCAGCTGTTGCGGCTGCAGCAGCTGCAGCAGCTGCCTCTTCCCACCATGCTGGCACCAAGAGCAACCGCCTTCCTGCTAATCTCCTGGACCAGTTTGAGAAACAACTGCCACTGCACCGTGACGGCTTCCACACTCTACAATACCAGCGCACCTCCACCACCACCGAGCAACGCAGTGAGAGTCCCGGCCGCATTCGACACCTTGTTCATTCAGTCCAAAAGCTCTTCACCAAGTCCCACTCCCTGGAGGGATCGTCCAAGATGAATGGCACAAAAGGTGACATTGTAGGAGGGGGTTATCACCATCATGGCCACCACTCCACAAAACACGGTAGCAAGAGGAGCAAGAGCAAAGAACGTAAGCACCGCTCTGGTGGCTGGTGGAGCTCAGATGACAACCTGGATAGTGACAGCACCTATCGTACACCCAGTGTCATGTCACGGCACCATGGGGAACATGTCGGCCACTACCACCCAGATTCCATGCACAGCCACCACTTTGGAGACCTGTCACTCAAGACCTCAAAGAGTAACAATGACGTCAAGTGCTCAGCGTGTGAGAGTATGGCCATGGGACCCGAGGGCAAGTTCATGAAGAGGAGCTCCTGGTCGACTCTAACAGTCAGCCAGGCCAAAGAGGCCTACAGGAAGTCATCGCTTAATTTAGAGAAACCCATGATGTACACGGACCTCAAGTCATCGCGGACATGTCATTACCTGCAGGTTAGTAGTACCTTTTTTTGGAAATATATGTCCTTAAAGTACAGACAAATTTGATTAGTGGCGTATTGTACTGAGCTACTGAAATACATGTTTTTGTGTGCATCGGTGTATATGCTATGGCTGGTACACAAACACTGATTTCATTCCATACCATGCAAACAATTCTGACTGGCATTGATCAGCTGCTAGTTTATGTCCACGTATAAGTCATCCTTTGCTTTCAGAATTAATGAAATCACAGAAGTTGTTTAATTTAGTTTGAAGCAATAACAGTTTTGTGTTCTTCTAAATGTTTAATACTCAACTCTTTGGAAAAGGCCCACAAAAAATGTCTGAATATAGACTGAAAGGCCATTAAATGTGGAGATATTTGAAACGCCAACTATCAGATAATACAACAAACAATAACTAAGATCAATATCCACTCATCTCCGACACTGCCCTTCTCGATAAAATGCATTGATCGATTAGGAATCTAGACAGCAGGGTATTTGGAGTCTGCCTTTCTTTCTGTCATCCTCCAGAGGGCAATTACAGTGTCCACAAGTGTGAGAAGTCAATATATTTAACCAGGATTCCCTTTTGTGTGCTCACCTCAGGGAGCTATTGTCTATTAAGATATAGAGCTCGCCTGACTGAATCAATGTCATGGTGGAAAGCACTGAGAAGAACCACTGAGCTGAACTCCAGTGTAGGAAACACAAAGGCTGTGGTGTCTGCAAAAACAGCATATAGTGTGGCTTGAGTTGCTGTAGGAGCTGGTTCACCAGATTGGAAAGAGACATTACTTTATTCACAGATTTTATGCCCCATGCTTGCCTGTAACACTGTCACGAGTCACGAGACTAAAGTAAAGCAGTTAAGCTACAGATAGTGACTTCTTCTAAAACGGTCAAAAGTCAAGTATTCAGTGTTTCAGCGATCTTTGAGTTTCTTTTAATTTTTAATACTAAGCACTTAGCTAATGCTCTCATCCACAGTGACTCACAGGCTACAGCATTAGAATATTAAGCTCAAAGTCCTGCTTTAAGTAGCTTTTAATGAAGGTGACTTAAGAATTGGAAATAATGATAAAAACAGTGACATGGGTAACAGTTGTTTCTGAAATGCCAAACAGATTTCCAATGGGTCGTCATTAGCATTACGATGCTTGTTGTATGCACATCTTGGGAAAAGCTGGCCTGGACTTTGATCAATCATGTTATGAAATGCTTGACTGTAATATGAAAGAGAACAGCTGAAGTGATTGGCCATTATTAAAGCTATGCTTCCATATTACAGTTGTGCTTGTATATCACTCAATCTTGAAAATAGACAACTCCTTTAAGCCACTTTCAATGACAGCCATTATGAGAAAGTTGCAAACTGAAATATGTGCTTGCACTATAATCAACAATTACCCATGTTTTTTTACTCATGACATCAAATTTGAAGCGGCACTCATATAAACCCATAAATAGTTCTACCGAGTACCATATGCATCCCCTTCATTCATTTTGATGCTGTGTGAAATGCACAGTTACACACAGATACGCAAACTGCAGTTATTTGTGTGTAATGGGTAGTCTCTGTCAATAGAGGGGCTCTCTCACTGGCATTTAACAAGCTTATATGTCAGCAGGCAGAGACCCTGCAGCTGCCACATGGGCACATTCAGCACTGAGCGTGTCCATAATGAGAGCCTTATTCAGTGGAATCAATGAGCGGAGATCTGTAAAGGCATTGTGGTGAACGCTCTTGGTGCCCATCTGATTTTATCTCTTTGATGTCTGGGTCCTTTAGGTCAATGTTCACTTGTGAGGAGGAGGACAGGCCTGCCTTAGGGAAGCTGACATAATCTTGTTTTAGCAAGTGTCACGTCTTCAGTCTGACCATCTAAGCCAACAAGGGTAGGGTGAAGCATATGTCAAAGAATATTAGAGGTTGAATCTACATATCATTTTAAGCCATTAAGAAAAATGCATACAGTGCTGTGCAAAAGTCTTGATTCACCTCTAGTTTCTTTACACTTCTTGTAATTTTTAAAAGCAATCTCGAGCAATAGTTCTCCAGGTTTTCTTAAGGTCTTTGGAAAGTTTTCTTTGGACGTTGGTGGTTTTTTCACTCATTTTCAGTCCTGTCCTTGTAACTGACCACTTAACACTGACCTATGAATCGCTGAGACATAAAATGGACACCCGATTTCCGATGATGTTTAATCTGCCCTTAAAAACCTAATGAAACTGGAAAAGTGTAACGAAACAAGAAGTAGAAGGCAACAGAATAGTATCTGAAGGGCATGTCCTTAAGAAATAAGAAGAAATTCAGCAAAGACCTGACACAGGACCTGAGCGATGGACCCGGTCCTTCAATCTACTACTAACCATAGCCTCATCAGAAATGGTCTCAGTACAAGAAGGGCTCCTTCCCACCATATTTTTTAAAATCATAGTTATCCTGCTACCTTTGCATTTAAAAACCTTCAAATAGACTGCGTCCACTCTCACCATTTCAAAAGCCAAAAAATAACTGGCTTACTCAGGCACAAAATTACAGGACCCGCACATTTACGAGCTAGAAATTGTTCTACCACATCCAACAGGTCAGTGTTGTTTTTCACTAGATGCAGTTTCACATCTGGTACATGGCGTTATGGAATTACTTTCTGCATTGAGAAGATGTTTTATCCCAGGGTTATTTTTGTACAAAGTGCCCACAGTGTAGTAGTAACTAATGATGGTGTAAAGCAGCTCATCTGTCTAGCTGCCTCAGAGGCACAGCTGAACAAGTTCTTTCAGGTATGGCATCAAATGAACACAGAAATAAGGTAATGCTAATGAGGTAGCGCACTGCTTCCATGAGTGATGACTGCCTTGTTAACAGCAGCCCCAGACGATCAATGGTTGTGCATTAGGAGGAAAATGAATCTTTTACTTTATTGCTGTCTTTAAGGCTGATTAATTTAGTTTCCAGGCATTTTATTCTATGCATGTGGGAATGGAAAATGTATTAGCCTGTGTTACACTTTTTGCTGATGGGTCTTTTTTTTCCCATGTTAACTTATGAGGTTACGCAGGTTTGCAACGTACCTACTGCCTTCATTTTTTTAGATGATAATGCACAAAATGTTATCTTATATCACAATATTAGGTAACCGAACAATCATCTCTCGTTTTCCTACGTGCTGTTGTGGAGTTTAGTGCTGAGGCAGTGAGACATGCTGCGCAAAAGAAATTCATTGTGTTTTGGCTTCAAATCGTAGCATATGGTTTAAAAGATTCAGAACGTGCTTTATGTTGACTACAAAAACAGTTGAGGAATACATCTGAGCAGAATACTTTACACTAAGGATGATGAAGCCCAGTTGGTCCTGCTTTAATCATCTGTAAATCCTCCTACTTTTTACTATGTGCCACCTTCCATACAGAAGAAAAAAGCTTTATATAAGTGCCTTATGCTGTTGAGTCCCTCACCTGTCGCCACTGAGCACAAGAGCTGTCGAGTAAGAGAGGATATTGGGTGCTAAAGAAAAAGATTATGAGGGGAAGAGATGAAGAGATGGGCAGCAAGAACAGACAGCGAGAATGGAAGTGATAGAGAAAGCATTATTCCACCTCCAGGAGAAAAAAAGGGGTGTGAGCCACTTTCTTTTCTGTGAGAGCAGTTCAGCACTTGTGGCAGAGAAACAGCCACGCTGTATGACTGGCTAAAGTGAGTAACTGGCAGAGCATGAAGAACAGTCCTGCGCCTGGGCTTGTTGTTCCAGGAGCTAAGACTGGCCTGTCCACTGGGACTACTGCTAGCTGCACCACACACTAACACTGCTGTACTTGCTACATGCCTGATCAATACGCTGTTAGCAGAATCAGTGTGTGACACACAGAGATGGTAATGTGTTACTGTAATCCGATTACTTTTTTCAAGTAACGAGTAAAGTAAGGGATTACTATTGCAAAAACGGTAATTAGATTACCGTTACTTTCCCGTAGGAACGCTGCGTTACTGCGTTACTAAAACCGTGATTTTTTTTGCGAGAATGTCTCATGACAGTGACGTACGCGAGTGCGACGGTCGTGACAACAGCTGTGTGCAGATCAACAATGGATCATATATCGAGTACGGGAGAGAGTATGAGCGTGCAGAGCGTGCAGCGTTTAAAGCGTGGAAGTACTGACCTTATTTTGAGTTTGATTCCATAAAAAGTGACAAAAACATTAGCGTCCATTAGCATTGTGTGTGGGAAGTAAACATCTTTTTACAGCGAAAAAAAACCCTAAACTTCCAAGCAAGCTCCGAGTGCTACCACGTAATGGGAAATTCACAGAGAAATTGCCGTATCCTTCCACTGACCGCTGCGGCACACCTGCACCAGGGTAAACCTCCGCCTACCCAACTCCTGCTTTACAGGTGAAAATAGAGCAAAAGGACCGCTAGTCTTTGATTTTATTTATTTTCTGCTGTGTTTTACTTGCATCTATTTGAAAGAGTGAGTGTAAACACAAAAAAAAAAAATTATGTGCTGGAATGTGCAGAAAATAGGTTTAAATGTTAAACAAATTTCTTCCAGTCAGTGAATGTTGCATATAATTAAATTTTTGCTTGATGCATAAAGTTAAAAGATTAAAACTAATAAAACAAGTTTTAAAAAGAGACTTTTCCATTTGATTACATTTTGTATGATGGATTATGCAGAAAAAGTAGAATTGGGCTGAAAGATCTATCGCTTTATCACCTCTTCAGGTTGTAAATCGTGTTTTTAAAAAGTAACTAAGTAACTAAGTAATTAATTACTTTTGAAAATAAGTAATCAGTAAAGTAACGGGATGACTTTTTGGGGGAAGTAATCAGTAATTAGTTACTGAGTACTTTTTTCAAGTAACTTGACCAACACTGGTGACACATGGCCACTGTAGCTGTCCATCTTCATAAGAATTAAACCAGGGTGCAATTGAAGAACCCATGAACCTTGTTTTTAATAGTATCAATCTGATACTGTAAGCTCAAACATACACTGTGTATTCAACCCAACAATAACAGGTAATCATTTTTGAAGAGTTGAACTTGATATACTCTATAATTTCTGTTCTATCAAAATCACTAAATCAGTGCAATTATTATGTGTAGACATCTGCAGCACTGCACAGCACAGTGTAGAGTAATTAGAACAGAATCACTTACTCACTATGCTAATCTTGATGCTGCTGTGTTAAGCAAAGTCCCTGTTTATTGTACTTATAATTGAAACACTGAAACCAATTTATGCTACATATATATAATGTTATGGCTATGAGCATCTAATACATACAGTCACATGAAAGAGTACAGCCTTTCTGCTTCCATAGAAATCAGGGGTGTACGGTAAGTAGCAGCCAAGCTAATCGAATGCACTTAATTAACTGATCATCAGCAAGTGGGACCACCTTTGTTAAAGCAGAAGTTCTGCTGGTCTGGAGCATTCAGGTGTGTGTTAACACAATGGCATAATATTCCTAGGGGTGGATGTCCCCATGTTCCCAAGTGCACCAGCAAATCTACGGCATAATGATGGAAAAAGAAAAGAAACAAGGTGTTGCAATATTCTGGTTAAAATCCAGACCTCAGTCTGATTGAAATGCAGTGGCGGGACATTAAGAGAGCTGTACATAAGCATTTGCTTGCACTGAAGCAAAACTGTAAAGATGCGTCGGCCAAAATTCCTTCACAACGATGTGAGAGACTGATAAAGTCATACAGAATACAATTACTTCACCGATTACTGCTGCTAACGGTGGTGCCACAAGCTACTGGTTCATGGGGTGTAGTTTGTTTTTCACAGGACTGCATAGAATACTGTGAGCCTTTCTTTTTCACATGACTGTACATGAGTGTTCATTATTTTTGTCGTTTTTAATCACATTTGCCTTACAACTAATTCTGAGCTGCAGTATGCCAAAAGCTTATTTTGTGTTTATTTGGCTGACAGTCAAAGCTAATTGAAGAGCATGTATGTTTTTGTATTAGTAATACTACAGTGATGACAGTATGCTGACTTAAAAGTTACAGCCCAAGCCTCAGGGGTATGATTGGCTGCCTTTTCTGTGCGTGCATAAAAATACATACTGATTCCTTGCCAAATGTGTTCATTTGCTTCCCAAAAATCCTTTAAATATGGCCACATTTTGATTTGCATTATGAGTGATTTGCTAAAAAGGATGCTGAACCCTGTCCATTCAACTGAATGTTGACCGTGCGGATGTAAAGTGCCATTTTACTTTACTTCTAAGAAATGTGATAATGAATTTCACTCCGTAATTTAGTGATGGGCTGGGGAGGTTTGGGCTACCTAAACATTTATGAATGGAAAAAAAGCAGTGTGAACAAGCGTTTGCCCTCTTCCTGATTTCCTAGTTTTATTTGTCACACTTATGTGTTTCAGATCAAACAAACACATTTTAATATTAGACAAAGATAACCAGAGTAAATACAAAATGCAGTTTTTATGATTTAATTGATTAAGGGAAAAAAGTTGGTCCTTTGTGTAAAAGTAATTGCCCTTCTTGTTAAATCATGACTATTTCTCATATCTCTATATATATGTTTATGTGGGAAAATCCCAATATATGACCATGTTCAATGTCACTTAAATCACCTTTCTTCCTGAAGCTCAGTTTGAACTCCAATAGGACATTTTGACCATCTCTTCATGCCTAAATACACCGAACTGCACTGAGTTGGCTGATTGTATATTTATGTTAACAAGCAGTTGAACAAGTCCACGTAACAAAGTAACCAGTTATTATTTCTTAATCAGCCCAAAATTAGGTACAGGTGGAGACCAACGTTTGTACACTGCTGTGAAACCACTTGGATAAATCTTTAGAATTATTAAAAAATTTGCTTTATGTTACGGTCTCACAACTTTATATTTTCAATGATAACATCCTTGGCATCACTGTGATACACAATTCCTTTACTTGATTTTTCCATTTAGGTTAAAAAACACATAGCTGATACACTTTTCACACTTATATGGGTAATTTTCAAGCTGTATTTGCGAATATCTTTCATTTACACAACCCTGTCAAAGCTGTATATTTTGTACATGGCTAAATATTGCTATAGTACTCATCATCGTTTTATCACAGACTTGCAGGAATAACAAGTAATATCCTGGACTACTTCGACCTAATTGTTATAAATGTCTGTATTGTATTAAATGTAGGTGTGCCATCTTCCACAGGTGCCCCAAGATGAGTGGAGTGGATACCCAGGTGAGAAGGATGACGAGATCCCATGTCGGCGGATGCGAAGCAGTAGCTATGTTAAAGCAATGGGAGAGGTGGATGATGAAAGTGGGGACTCTGACACCAGCCCTAAGACCTCTCCACAAAAGACCATTCGGTCAGATGCTCTTGTCCTCAAATCAGCCATGCAGAGACCCCATTTAGACTCCCACAGGTAGGCCTGGTTGCCTAACGTATTGACTTAGTGTGCCCACGGCAATGCTGTGTATTCATTTAAATATTCCAGTTTTTATCATGGGTTCACTAAGGTCTTACTCAAAAAAAGGTAAGATGATGCACTGTGATTCATTTCCCTTTTATTTCACAAGTTTCAAATATTTACATGACAAAACCAACGCTCATCAATAGCAGTATCTCTGGTGTTGCTTCAGGGTCAACCAGTTGAGCTGCTTGGATTTCAGTGTTAATTGTTGCTTGGCTAGAATTTATTGGAGTCAACGCTGAGGACACAAGTTGGTTTTTTTTCATACTTCAATACAAGTGGAAAGTTGGGAGTTTTGATGCAACACTTGCTGCTAACAAAATGTTGCTGCATGCTGTGTTTAGTTGGTGCTCAAAGCAAGAACATTCAGAGTCGTCTATATAAATAAACAGTCTCACTGCTCTGCCTACATGCTGTCAAAGTAAAATTGCTGTTTGTTAATGCTGCTTTTTGTTAAGCTGTCCCTGAGAGATATGACTAAATTGAACAGTCAGGTGATTTCAAGTGAAGTTCCTTTGGAAAACAATAGTACCTTTGTTGGCTTGTATGGTTGGTGTGGTTGGCTCTTTTTTGGTCTTAGGCATTGCCTGCCAAGCATTGTATTTCTACAACTGTTTCATGGGTCAGCTGCAGCTGTGCTCTGGTGATTGCTGTGGCACCAACTGGTTTTGAGTTTGATATAAATTTCTGATATACCATACACAAACACTGCATCGCCGCATCACGCTATTGCTGACAATTCTGTCAAAAGAAGAAAGAAAGAGAGCCGGTTCAAATGCAGGAGAGGTGACACATGGAAGGGCATACGTTAAAGTTAACACTGCTTGATGAAAAGCCTTGGGGGAAGTGACGGGTTTGTTCTGTAACCCAGCCAAGTGTGGAGTATATATGTCTGTGTTTTGATCCTAGACAGACTTTGACAAAGGGAGAGCATGCAATCTCCACATAGAAAGGCCCCAGTCGACCTGTGGAGCCAAACCCAAGACCCTCCTGCACTACTGTGTTGCCTTCACAATTACAACAAACCTTAATTATTGACAGTTTTACCATTCACTTTCACTCTAATGTGATCTACTCATTAATATAAATGTGGTAAATAGTATTTTGTTGATAATTATTCTAATCAGGGTTAACATACAAATAACATGTTGCAAAAGGTTCTGCACTGGACAAATTGAGATTAATTATCCAGATGATTTGTGTGATGTTACTTTTTAAAGCACAGTGTACATCAGTTGGCTGTTTTAGAACAGATAGATTTCACTTCTCAGGATCTTACCACCTCCATTTAATGATTTCCTAATGATCTCTCGCTGGTAAATGGTGACCATGTGTATCTTTTTCATGCTAAACCAGAACAACATACAGAGTGTTTTTTAATTGGCGTATTCGTGATGTCATTGCTCTACCTAAGCTAAAACACAGCTTTTCCCCCCAATTTATTGTTCTCTGTGACTGTTTGTTTTCAGGCACTGTGACTTTCAAACGCAGCCAAATTCTTGAAGCTAGGGAGCAGTCATGAATCCGTCATCTCTACTGCCACTGAGTGCTAATTTTGTTACCATCATCTCAGTGGGGAACTGATCACTTTTGCTTTTGTCCACAAACAAAACAGCTCTTATGTTTTGTTTATCCTCTGGTGGAGAATGTAATAATCTCTTACTGTAACTCCATGCTGTCACTGTTTCCCTAATAAGAGCCACAGCCTAGCTATGCATGCTTTCTATGATTTTGGGATGAATGAACTAGTGTTTTATCATGGAACTAGAGGATATTTAAAAATGAGAGGGGTGAGGGGGTATCATGTAGAAGTGAGAGGGTAGAAGTTCATTTTCATTTAATCACAAACAAGGCCGTGCCAACAGATGCTAACCAGCGGATTTATAAACTACAGTGTGTTCCAGATGTTACCTTTGTGGCTTTTGAACTGTGAAATCGTGTCTGTCCCTGCCCCCTGTCCTTGTTCAGCCAGGGCTACCACTTGCAAACCACAAGAGATATACAGCCCCACCCTAGTGTCACGCTGGACCCCGCCACCTTTCATCCCCCGCCCTTCCGCTCTCGCAACCAGAGCTACATGCGCGCCGTCAGCACCCTCAGTCAGGCTAGCTGCGTCAGCCAGGTGAGTCTCAAACACATGCATTACACAGAGGCAACACCTGGACACATCACTGAGAGCTTATATCAGTTTGTATATAGTAGCACTGTGCTGAGGACAGCACAGAGGCACTAAGCACCCAAGGGAGGTCCCCTGATTATTAGATTGCAGAGCAGGGGTGTCAAACATAAGGCCCAGGAGCCAGAATCAGCTGGGCAAAGACTCCAATCCGGCCTACTAGATGTCTTTGGAAAATATGAAGGAGGGCTTGAATTATGGACTTTTCACTGTACTTTCATAAGTGTTACTACTACAATTAAGACCTCCCACTTGGTCATTAATACCACACTAAAGTCAATAAGTTGTAGATAAAAAAATAAAATTACATTCGCTATCTACTATTTACTGTAGACTAATGGGTCTATAGTGAGTTAACAAGAAACGTCTGTTTTATATTTACAGGGAAGTCTGGGAAATTAACTACTAGAATTTTTCCTGTGATTTCTTTCATTAACTACAGCACAATTTCTTTATTATGTACAAAAAGACACATGCTGTTGAATTAGACTTCTTTATCTAATATTAAGATACCTCAGGGATTAAATGTGTTGTTAAATCTCTTTAAACTGACAGAAAGGGGCATTTCACTGGTCTGGCCCAATTAAGTTCAAAGTGGGCTTTGTGTGGCCCACAATGTAAAGCGAGTTTGACATCCCTGTTGTAGACAAAGCCTTGGCTATATCAGTCAAACGAAATTGGAATAACTTATTGCTTTTACTGTTTGGGTACAGATGATTTATCTGAAAGCTTATGTCTAAATCAATTCCAGGCACAGTCCAACATGGTTTACAGTTTGTTTCTGAAGTGTTATCTGCTCATAAAAAAAATGTGAAATTACACATAATTATTAAATTAGGACATCAGTGTCACATCAGCAAGTTTGCATCTTGATATCTGGAACAGGCTACTGATACACAGTTAATGAGCCTAGTGTTGTTTTAGCATGCCAACTCGTTTGTTTTGGTTGACAGGGCTTTTTTGTCACCCTCGAGCAATGTACTACAGTACTAGTGTAGGCATGGAGACGAAATAAATACACGTTTTGAACCAACATCATCATTCAAATAAATTCAAATTCAAATACCTTCTTCTCCTATGAATCTATACATTTGGATGAATTAAGTCCGTTTGGACCTCCATGGTGGCTTAAGATGTGGTTACTGCTGCAAGATCTGAGACACATCCACCATTGGACCTTCAATACGTACATGGAGTAACAATGAGGAGAGATTTTGGCTAAAACACAGGTTGAAAAATCAGTTTACACCCTTACGTGCTAACACCTAGTTTTCCATTACTGGAAAAGGTCTAATTAATAGCAAATCATTCCCGTTTTTAAATAGTAAAGGCTAAAGTAATAATGAAAAGGCAATATTATCTCAATAGTACATCAACATTTACAAAAAGTGTTAAATAATTCAAAAATAAACAAAAGTATGCAGCCAACACAATTTGTGTCACTAAAAGAAGAAGCTATTTTTATCTCTTCCCTCGTTCACAAGGAGTTTCCACAACAGGTAAACTCCACATGTTTGATTTGGCAGAGTTTTCGTGCCAGATGTCCTTCCTGACGCAGCCCCAAAGGGATTTGTGTCTCCTCGTAGGATTGAACTAGGGATCTATTGGTGGTTAGGCAAATGCTTTAACTACTACACTACAGAGACACGTTCAGCACTTAGCTGTAAAATAACATTTCCCTTTGATGAGTACATGATTTTCACATTAACAAATGAATCTTGTTACACAGAGCAGTTTATTGTACTTCTAAGCTCTTCCACGACTTATGAGATATCTTCCATCTGTTAGCATTCAGTATACTGTATAGAACGTCTTTTGTGATCAATTTATTGCTTTATAACTCAAACTGGCTATTTTTCTTATTGTTTTTTTGTTGTCATCTGAATTTTTTTTCCCCCATTTGATCTGACATTTATTCAGTTTAAGGTCGAAACTGACAGCGGCGTTTCCTTATGCTAACACTCCTTCATATTTGCTGTGCAAAGGGGAAGAATCAAAGTGAGAAAGAGAAAGGAAGAGGAAAAATTAAGGACTGCTATTCCTGTTTTTGTCTCTCAGGTGAGTGAGACTGAGATCAATGGCCAGTTTGAGTCAGTTTGCGAGTCCGTTTTTAGTGAAGTAGAATCCCAGGCCATGGAGGCCTTGGACCTGCCTGGTTCGTTCCGCACTCGAAGCCACAGTTACCTCCGTGCAATTCAGGCTGGTTATTCCCAAGATGACGACTGCTTGCCTTCAATGACATCCTCCACTGTCACTTCAACTCTCAGATCCACAACAGGTAAAACAATCCCCCCCCTGAATAAGAGAGGGCTTAGATTACATATCTTCATATATCCTATACATGCGCACAAACTTGACATACCTAAATATGTACAGTGGGGAACCCTTGAGCTTCAGAGATGCCGGGCTGAATGATTCCAGTTATTTTCTTTGGAAGCTATGGTGTACGTGTGTTTGTTTTTTTGCCACTGCATACTCCCAGTTGTTTAGATGGACCTGCTTGTGTGTTACGTTGCATGAGTCATGCATCATTAGCCAAGCTTCTGATTGGTCAGTTGTGGTGTTGCCGAGCTTTAATCTAGGATAGGGGTGGGAGAGCTACATTTTAAACATTAAGATGGCAACACATGGCCATAGTACACAGTATAATAACACAGCACAGCCGCATTACATGGCATGCCTAAAAGGAACAGGCCCGAACCAAAGCATGTTAAAGTGTGGTGTTATTTATGTATTATGAAAAGCGTGTGAGTTACTTAGGGAGGGGTGAAAAACAAAATGGGCCAGGGGGCAGGGGAGCAGTAGGTCACTGATATACTTGTTTGAGAGGACACACTGGACAAAGCATTCACCTGTACTCCCCATTAGCACAAACTTTGTAACGGACATTGCAATTGGCTACATAAAATAAAAAAATGTAAAAAAAAACAAACAAACAAAACAAACAATTTAAGGTAAGTCAACAAGCTTTAGCAGCTAGTACATATGCACACCTACATGCTGGTTGCACAAAGAAACTACACTACACATGTTAGAGTTTGAAAGAAAAAAACTTTACTAACAGTATTGTTGTACTGTGTTGCATGAAACTTGAGTTAATGCTAACAAGTGTCCCAATGAATGATATGTCAATGTAAAAATGCAATAATTTCAAGGTTTTTTGTGACACAGTTCAAACAATATGTCCCTTTATTTAGCATTTCAGGTTCTTTGTGCAAGCACAGTCTTTCCGGTAACTCCCTCACTGAGTGTATTTGGTGTTTGCCTGCAAGAGTAAAGCTATGAACCCTATTGAAACATTTTTTTTCTCTAATTACATGCATTTTTTTAATATTATGGATTACCTGGATTTTTACTGTTTTTGTACACTTTTCTGTCAATTTAATATTGGAGACATTTGCAGTTTTATTCATTTTGTTGCCTTTGTTTTCTTGTTGAATCTGGACTTTTGTTTTTGTTTTTTATCCTTTCATTCTCAATTGGGTTTCCATCTACGATTTCTACGATGTGACAGAAGTACTGAGGACAAAGGAGTGTTCTCCAATCCCACCGTCTTATTTGCTTAACGCTATTCATTTAACTCTGCTCCAAATCTGTCAGCTCAACATGGGCGAAAACAAGCAGTTGACTGTACATTATGTTCTGAAATTGTATTACCAAGATTAGCATAATGCATCGATTACAACATGCAATATAAGACTGTAGCAGTTCAGAGAAAGGACTCCCTGGATGCTGATAAAATATACAGTACTGCCACCTCCCATACAACCCGTACTGTAAATATTACTTGTTTTTGGGATGCACTATAATTATGCGTGAATAGTGGCCATAAAATAAAATAAAATAAGAGAGAATCGCTTATTCATGGAATCCTGTTTTTATGTTAGTCTTCAGTACTAGATTATTACTATTATTATTAAACTGTAAGCAACTTATGACCCAAACCCTGAGGCTAGTGGGCCATTGAGTGGGGAAGGGACCCCATGGTGCTCCGTAGGGCAGACGAACAGCAAACCCCTCTCCATTTGACCATCCACCTCTTGAAGGATAACCAAGGGGAAAGAACAACTGGAGGCATCAGTGATGATTGTTGCAGGTATTTTAATGTTGACACGCATACATATATCTATGTATATGTGTGTTTTTGCACTGCCTTCTCAGTAAAAATAGCAGATAAAGTTTATATGTAGTTGGTAGAAATATCGCCTTATGTTATCCCAAGTAGCAAACATGGTGTCAAACAACTCATAAAACCTCAGACATGTTGATTTATTTTTAGAGCACTGGTAATGCTGAATATTGATTACAGTGATGAATGTGATGCTGGCTTTTGTGAGTTGTTTACCACGTCTCTATTTTAAGTGTTCTTAGACCACATTGTAAGTGTAAATGTATGCGGTATGTTCTGCCCAGACTCTTCAGAATGTTTTCATGCTTCAGCATAAAATAGCAGTGAATGTTATCGCATTGCCACTGTCTCCAATCATTTGTGAGCGCAGCATCTACCTGTTGTACATGTGTGAACTTTTTTTCTTTTCTTTCATGAAAATCTGGCTTCTTTTCAAAAGGCCACTTGTGGCAGAGTCTAACTCTTGGCAGTGATTTTGTCAACTGTCTTGGACTGTGGGATTGCAGCCTCTCCCTGGTGCAGCCCTCACCGGGTTTGAATATTTCACATGGTCTAAATCAGCCACCTTGGACCTGATATGTTCAATAGGGTTCATATCTGCTTCTTGTGATTCTTCTACTCCCTTTGCATCTTTTCTTTTGCACAAAATTGCACAAATTTTAAGTAAGTCAGAAACATTTGACATGGTTTGAGAAAGGGTTCTCAGAAAAAAAATGAATCTATGATTTGATAATGATTGATGTATTTCATGTTTAATTCCACTCTTTGTTGTGCTGTGCAGTGAAAAGATGGAAAGAAGCCTTGAGATGACTGAGAAGGCAGTGTAAAAACATTGTGAAAAGCCTGCAGTATGTGAGTTAGGTCATAATCGTTGCCTTTGTGGAGTAAGAGAACTGAAAAGCATATTTCAGTAAAGGTGCATTTTTAAGCAGGTTTTGGCTGACCGATATTCACCTACATCTTAGCCGTGCACATTTCTAATGCTTGTGGTGGGTGCAGACGCGTTACTTAACGTTAAACCTGTCAAACCAAATGGGAAATCAATAGATCAGAGCTTGTACATCTTTGGAACTTTCCACTCACATACTGTATGTTTTCCATAGATATGTGTTATACTGTAGATCAGAATCCCAGTCAAATCCCACTCCAGCTGTTCTTTTCACCCTGAATGTCCTTCTGTTTGCATATTCACATTTTTCTTCCAGAGGGATATGATGTATTGGATGGAACATCCTTACTAAATGATGACATGATCGAGGATGATGATGGTGCTAGCTCTTCTGCCTATGCGGAGCTCGAGAGGCTAGAGAGAGAAACTGCTGCTGCACGCAGCCAGCACAGTACTAGCTCCACGGTAACAGCCATCTCGATCCCACCGGCACCTCCACCTTCATACAGGGTCCCTACCGCCTCACCAATAGCCACCTCTGAGCAACCGGTTCCTCAGGCCATTCAGGCCTTTAAGGAGTCTGCTAACATGGTCGCTGCCTTCAACATGCAGTGGAAGGATGAAATCTCTGCAATGCGCTATGAACTAGCAGAGCTGCGCAGAGATGTCTGTGGGGAATTAAAAACTTTCAACAGCAACTTCTTCAACTTTACTCAGTGCTACAACATGTGGACTTTGTGCCGGGAGCCCTGCAACGACAGCACCACACAAACAGATGACAGAGTTTCCATAGGAATTCAAGCAGGCTCAAGCTGGTCTGTACGACAAAACACAGAGGACAAGTCAGTGATGTGCCAACCCGAGCCAGCACCCTTCAGTATCATGGATTTGATGGACCCACCTCGAATTGAGATTATAGAGGGAACTCCTGAAAGCACGCCAGAGGGGTCAGGCAGCCCCGCCAGCCCACTTCCAATAGAGGATTTCCCATGGGAGATCAACAAAAAGCAAAAGGCTCATAAGCAGCCAGACACAACTGGCCACACAGGTGGTCACAGAAGCGCCAGTCTAGAACTGTGGAGCAGGAAGTACACCAGTGGGCCCATGTCATACCTGTCTATGTCATTTTAGCCATACATACATGTAATTGGAAAATGAAATAAGGAAAACGGGCTGAAAACCTGAAAATTCAGAAAAGGGGAGCAGAACCATGCTGTTATTAGATGTCCCTTTACGCTATGCAGACACAGAGTCTGTCATCTCTTGAACAGGTTTCACTATTGTTCAAGCAATCTTTTAACAAGTGTCTTGCTTAGCCATCGAACAAAGTAATTATTTTGTTTCACACCAGAATGAGGTGACATCATAATCTGAGGGAGAATGTGACTGATATTCAGATCCTCAAGTGCCAACGAGTGCAGCATCATCTTCCCTCCGCTGTCTTAAATACTCAAAAAAGCCAATTTAAGTAATCATGATTGGAAATTTGAGGTATATTTAACTATATAACTCAACTATCAGCCAATGTGAGGTGACGCATATCTCAGTCTGTTTCTGCACATGAATTTGAATAGCTCATGTTCATTCCAGTTTCTCTTCATGTAGAAACATTCTCTTAAGCACCTGAAAAAATACTGTGAATAACTTTATAAACCCTAGTTTTTTAATGAATGCATTAAAGATGAATACATTATTTAAGGATATATTGATATATAATTTATGTTTCAGTTATCGTGATCAAAGCATTCCTTTGCCATTGCCTTCTTCCATTTTGTAGCCAGTTCCAGTTGAAATGGGCATTTTTCTTTTTAATTTCCAACATATGAGCATATTTTCAGTGGTGAACTGATGAACCACGCAGCATAAAGATCAAACAGTAGTTTAGGAAACAGCAGGTAGTGGTGAAAACAATCTGTCATAACCCTCATAAATTGTTTAAAAGTCCTATTCTCTGGAACACTGTATGGATTGCACTGTCTCAAAGCTCTGAGGACCTAGTCCCTGACCAGAATTGTTTACGATAAATTATTCTGATTGACTATGAAGTCAAACAGCCAGCAAAGCGTAAAACAGTAAAGGGGAATTCACAGAAATTATCAAGTTTGAATGTACTGGCTTCAACTCATTCCTGCACAAACTGCATTTATGTTGAAACTCTGTATATGTATATAAATGTATCATTTTGTAAATAGAGAAACTTATATTCAATACTTGTACTGTTTGCAGTTACAAACATACTGTGTTCTGAAAGCGCTGAGAGGGGTTAAAGTAGTAACTGGGTTTCTAAACCAAACACACGTTTACCAGTCTTCAATGTCCATCTTTATTTGTTTCATCCTGTTCATCACCCCACTGTTTTTTGCACATCATGATGAAGTCAGAAGTTCATAACAGTGTTTCACCTGTTGTTTTAAGTGAATGTTCTTCAACTGTTATGAAAAATGTCTTAACTAGTCACATTTATTTTATTTTAGCTCTAAAAAAACATGTATTTGATCTAAATCCTATCATATTTCTCCAGTGATAAAATGCTGAGGCTATTCATCACTATAACAGAGAAACACTGGTCCCTGTAAGTAGACAATCAGAGCCACTGAGGGCCTCTACCTCTTCGATATGTCCCCAGAGGTGCAGTATAGTGCCACTGAATGTACTAACACCGCCTCACTAGTGATGGCTTAGCTGGGCTCCTGTCAAGCCCTAATGGGTGGGAGCCCAGAATCATCTGCTCTATTTGGCTAACTGCTCATTCTGCCTCTTACTTATAAAATAATAGTTGCTCATTAGCCACTGATATTGCCCTCATCCCCTCCATTGTCACATTATACCTGCAAGGCATACCAAAGTTAATACTGAAAGGTGTGGAAAAAGAGTCCAACAGCAAACAAGTTTGACAGGACTTATCTTTGGACTGCAGCACAGGACCACCGGAAGCCTATATGTATCAAACCCCGACTGAAATGTGAACCTTCAGCAAGGACTTTAAATAAAGAAGAGGCATCATCTCTCAATTTATAAAGAGAGTGGTTCTTCTTCCTGTTTTGCACGACCCAAAAAAACAATATTCACAGAATAAAGCGGCATTTGAAACACCTGTTTCAGCAAGCTGTTAAACCTGAGCTCAAACACCTGACTAAATTTCAATCTGTAGATGGGGATGTTTGACAACAAGTCCAAAGTTGTGGTTTTATTTGGACATATACAGATAAGCTCAAGTGTATTGCTATGATTGTCTACTATTTGCAATACTGATTATACATTTTAAAACATTGTAACTTATTTAATTTAGCTTTAACCTAAACATAAGACGTTGAAATTTTCATTACAGACCATTACAGGTTGGGTTAGCATAATTAAATCATAAAATCATAAAAGATTACAGTGAAAGGCTTATGACTGTGACAACATTTAGCCTATAATCATTTTAGTATGAAGTATATATATATATATATATATATGTGCAAAAATGAAAAACATTTGGATAGGTTTGTGTTCATAATTCTGCTTTTTGAATGCTTAAGAGGGGACTGCAGTGGCATTCTCTTACATTGTTTCCCATTGTTTGGGGAATGTAAACTAATTTAAAAGGTGCTGAAGACTGGCCAATCGTGACGTCTCCAATCTGCGTTCATTCATTCTATGCAAGTCCTTTGTTTCTTGTTGTATGTAGCTACATTTTAACAGTTTTAGATATGAACGTTTATGTTGAGCCTTCATGCCGGTCATCAATTTCGGAAATGGAATCACATTTTCAGAAAATATTGGTGACTCTTTGGAAAAAAAACGTTCTTATTTCTGCATGAGCCATGGGCAACGCTAAGGTTTCCTTAAGTGTTGGCTGCAAAAAAGTTGTTTCATCCACATTTCTACTAATTTAGCCTGTATGTACCTAAGAATCTACGATTTTTGGGGGGGAGGGGATGAGATTCCAGCTATGTAGTAGCATCTACATGTTTTGTGACACTGCATACAAAAAACTGAATAATCATATAACAATTTTACCAAATACAGCCAAATTAGAAAATAGGCCTCCAATAATATATTTGGAAATGCTGTACAAATGCTTAACATTCTTCTCGATCTATATACAACTAAACTGCAAACTCATGACTGATTGATGCCAGGGAATGCACCAATTTTTTTTAAATATATGTTTAATCCAGTCATTCATTTTCATTTTATTACTTTGCTCAAAGATATTACCCTTCCCTTGAAGCAAGTTGAAATGTAGCAAAAATACAGATCTAAATAATATTTTCAAATCATATATGTGAAGGATATACATATAAAAAAAAACAGACCGAAGATGAAATAGACAAAGGGTATTTGCAATTATTTTTTATCATGCAACCATATTTTCTGTAATGAAATATATAACTATTTGTAAGAAATTCTGTCTACAGTATCTAATATGTTTCAATATGTAGTCAGTTTTGCCATTAGTTTTTGTTTACATTTCCTTGTCATCCAGAGATATGATGCAACAACTGTGCCAACTCTGTGAAGTCCAGTTAATGGGACAGGGGTTTTTGGATGGAATCTGATCTCACCTGAACCTGTAACACTGCTTCAATATAAATCTTTTTCTATCCCTGTGTTCTCTTCCTGCATTTATTTATGGTGTCTTGGAGAAAACAAGCTAATTTTCAGGGATCTCAGACTGCATTGTTAAGTGAATATGATTTTGTCAAATTAAAAAAGAAAAAAAAAGAAAGCATTCTTTTTAAATGATAGTTTAGCCTGCACTTGTTAGCTTATGCTTATTTTGTTAAATGAATGAAAACTGTGTGATACGTTTTTTCCTCTTTTATTTTTGCTTATTGTGGTGTTTCTTGTGATTATTTATTTCAAACTTTTATTGGCCTTATGTATTTTTCATAAATTGATATAAAACAATGGATTGAAATGTTTATGATGTTTATGATAATTCAAAATGGAAAAATAGGGATCATAGCTTTACAGTGGCGTTCAAAGATGCGACTGAAGATGCACTGATAGCATTTTTTTTGTGTCCAAAATCTATATACTCTTCAACACACTGCAAATACACAACACAAGCCTGGCACAGTGTCTTTTACTTTGACCCTCTCAATATGTCTTGCTTTTCTACTAAGCTATCACCTTTTTTGTTTTTGTTTGTTTGTTTGTTTTCCTTTTTTGTCGTTTCCCCCATTTTAGGCCTCCGTAGCTTAGCTGGGGGGCGTAGAGAGTACGGTAGGTCTGGTAGGGAACCGCTTTATTCTATCTTTTTTGTATGTTTTTCATACATTTTGTCTGTCATTAACATTTTCACTTGATAAAAATGAGATATCATAAGTTAAATATGTCATCATGTATAAGTATGTATAATACATTTCATTGTTTTCAAAGTTTGTCATATAACAAAAAATACCCACATGTTGGCCTAGTGTTAGCCACTGGCAATTTTGAACAATATACTTTTAAAATCTTTTCTGCACAACTGCCTCCTAATTTAACTGAGATGTGCATGAAGCCTTTTAACAAAGACCATAATTAATTTTTTGTTCATTTCTTTTAATATTATAGTTCTGTTTAAATTCATTAGTTTTAGCAGTGATTCACCCTCTTGCTTTAACCATTGTATATATTTTTCTTTATGAAAACCGAGGGGAGTAAAATCAGCACACACTGTGTTTAAGGCAGATTCTGACCAGCATAACAGCTTTCTTCTACAAACCACCACAAATCAATGCTTAATATACCTTTGTTAATGTGTAGTAAAGTCACTTGTTTTTAGCAGTTGCTTTAGGATTAGTTTTAAGAGAAAGATAGACACTGTTTTCATTTTAAATGGGGTGGTGTAAATGGTATTTTATAGCATTCTACCGTCTCACATCGTGGTAGAAGATTTGGGTATTTTGGACACTGATATGTTTATTTTTAAATATACCAGAAAGTGGATTTTTTTTCAAGCAGGCTACAAATCATGTTAAACTTGTAATCGGGGGCTCTCAGTAGATAAATTAACTTATGAGTAATCTTAAACTCTCTGTTCGTAGTGAGATGACTAGATATACTGTAGCAAACCTAGAACATGTTAGCCCACTAACAGTCATATCCTATAGTTACTTCTCAGTTTCTGTGAAACAAATCTTTTGATAAACCACAGGCCTGTACTATAAAGCAGGATTTGGACTTATCCAGGTAGCTTCTGAGTTAACCCTGGGTTTCTGCTATTATAAAGTTAGGGGTATATCCCCATGGTAACTAATTCTGCAGACCTTAGATGCTCTGGAGCAGGTTCTGTTTAAGATTACAGATTAAAAGCTATGAAGTCACCACTAACCAATAACCAAGGAACTTTATTCCTTGCTTTTTCCGGTTTGGGTCAAATTATTTTCTTTTTTTAAAACTTTTGTTCTATAAGCATTAATATGCAATCCGATAACAGGGTGCATTTTTGGACTCATGGATTTATTATAACAGAATTAATACTGTATATAGTCTAAGCCTATGCTTGAATTGCATAATGTCAAGCCTTTACTCCTATAGTTGAACCTCATCAGGACTGCAGCTGAAAAAATGCATATTTGCAGACTTTCCTTATTGGGTTCAGATAGATAACCTATATTGATATAGCCAATTAGACTCTCATACTGGTCATTTGTCTGCAATAACTTTGTTACTTTAGATCTATTTGTGTATTTAACCTCTTCATATTTTCCCAATAATAGTGTTATCTTCTTTTGAAAAGTCTGTTGTTCTGCTGCCAGTTTACCTAGCCATGTTTATCACTGGTCATATATACAATTGTAGCTAGACTGATAAACCCTGGGTCAACTTATTGACCTTTTTACTGATGTTAGGGTAAGTGAAGCCAGCTAACATACCCTGGGTATGTTTATCTTGCTTCATAGTACAGCGTCCAGGATAGGCCTACTTACGTTTTAGATGGAGTGCTATTGAATTCCCAACATTAGTCCAGCATGTTGTCTTTGCACACTCAAAATATACTAACCTAATCTCAGGAAACCCTTTTCTAATTCTTATCATGTTGGTCTTTGTTTTTGACAACACCTTTGAGCTTACAGTGTACAAGTAACTTTACTTTGGTTTTAACAGCCGGGGGGGGGGGGGGTTATTACACTGAAAAAAAGTGGTAGTTTAGGCCATTGATTTGTATTGGTTTGTTCTGAAATACTCATACATACAAGGTTAATCCACCTTGCATCCATGGGGGCATCACCACTGTATGTATATATGTATGTGGCAATGAACGACATGTTTGTTTTATTGTAAAAGAAAGGGCTACACAAATTTAAATTTAAACATTTTGTAAACCCAATAGAATCATCTGCAATTGACCTCTACACACCGTCAGGTATAACTAGTTGTCCTACGTCAAATCATCCATTCAGTCATCCATTTACCAATCAATCCACTCCATCTTTTCAAAACACCAGTGTCATATTCAGGTTTAAACACAGGACAGAGTATAGGGCCTGAATAGGAACAAGGAAAAGAAAATTCTCTATTTCTCTTTTTCCTTGTTGCTTTTGCCAGACACCGTTATTTATTTTGGCTCAGTCAAAGTTTAGGGAACAAACTTTAGGGAAAAAAGTTGTATACTACATGCTATATGTATGCTGTTACGTAAAACAGAAAATACTTTTTGCTAGTTTTCCATATAAAGTATGCGCTTGTCTCTAATTTCTTAGGAAATCTTTTTGATTGCAACAAAATTACTCAGATAACAGAAACACCAAAGTTCCATTTTTATCATTATCCTTGTCAAACTGAAGTGAAACTAGACATTAACTCTCTCTATAGCTAGAGTTAAATAAAACACAGCAACACGGAAGATTTCACCTTCATTTTGTTACATCCGCAGCCCCCATGCTCATGTACACAGCTCGTCAGTCATTGCATATCATTAACCCACAACCCTGATCTGAGTAAGAACAGCATCTTACCAGCCTCTTTGCCAGTCTGAGTCCACAACTATGGCAAGAACAGCCTCTGGCACAAATGGCGGGAGTCGGACGGAGCGGAGACACTGTCAGAACTTTTCCCAACGGTTTTTCTGAAATTTAAGTGTTGAACACAAAGAAGCAAAAGGTTTGAGAGGTCTGGCTGAAAAGCACGAGAGTGGAGGTCTGTTATATTTTTTGCACCAAAATTATTGTTATGGAATAGTATTGGGTTGCACTTTACATAAAGTCCATGTAAGTACAAAAGGTTTCTCTTTTATTTTCCCTAATTGTGCCGATATAATCAATTGGGAATCTGCACCACATATGCAAAATATGCTAATTTCAAATGTTTTAATTTAATTGTAATTGTAAAGTAGTGATAAGTGTTTTTTATGTGTGCCCATGTACTTGCACTTCATGTAAAGTGTGACTAAAACTCATGAGATCAAATACAAACAGAAACGCATTTGGTCATAGGGTGATCGTAACCATTTCGTGTGAAATTTTAAAAATGCCAAAAGTGAAACTTCAAAAAGATCCATATGCTGAAATACAACATGCAATGTTTTTTACTACATCAGTCAAAGCCAGTCTTCACATTAAGAATGAGAATAGGAGACTGCTTTACTTTTTAGTCTAAACATGTTCTTTGTCTGGCTGTCTCAGCACATCTCATCTTACTTCCTTACTGTCTAAACATCATTTTGGTAGTGTAAGTAAATAGTCTGGATTGGCTAATTCAGCAGTCTAATTTCAATTTGCTGACCTTACAGAAAGAACTACTTCAATATGAAATAATATGAAAACCATTAACTGAAATAATCCAAAAATATTTGACTGCATCCTGGATTTTTTAATATGGCTTGCTTATTCATATTTATGGTGATGATTTATGCTCTGTGTGTCTTCTAATTATGTGTAATATGAAAAGGTAGAGATTTAGATAATGCATGTTACAGTGAATGTTTTTATGCATTAATAACTTGCCTACTGACTTAAAAGTTAACGCAGACCTGATAAGTACTGACAGATCACGAGATCCTGAGAAATGGTTAGGATATTCAGGCAACACTGATGGGCAAAATTCCTAATAGCCTAGATATTTATTGACTCTTTGAAAGCTTTTCAGCCTAATTTTACTAAAATAAATATAGCTTAATGGCTTTTTGTTTAGCCTCGTCAGATCATCGTTTGCCATTCTTTTTTCATTTTAAAATGTACAAAGATGTTTTTATAAAATATTGGCAGATGGAACAGAACAAAGTCTGTCCTAATATACTCTCACTCTTCTCTGACAATAAAAGCCTTGTTATCAGACACAAGGTTTTGACTCCTCAAAGGAATACTGCCTATGAGCATTGCCCATTAAACTGTGTTTAAGTTGTGCCAGTGTCATTAGAACGTCTGCATTTTGAGACAGAAACACAGTGTCTTAGAGTTGAGCAAATATGAGCATTTAAATGTGTTTTCTTTATAATGTGAAGCGTTAAGTTCATTACAGCAGGACTGTTAATGTAAATTACTCATAAGAAATGATTGCAAAACAAATGCATTTAAATCTATTGGGAAAAACAAAAGCACTGATGTAAACTGAGCATACCTGTGTTTCTCTCTCTTATCACCTGTAAATGATTGAATTAAGGATTGCATAAACTAAGACAATATATCCTGTAAACAATTTTCAATAATTCTTAGTCTGTTATGGCAGGTATATATCTATATATATATGGCAAGATGATTTACTGTTGAGCATTACTGTGTTCTACCCTGCATCTTTTCTGCCTAACCAGTGTTGCTTGTTCCTTACAGGGATTCAGTTTCGTCTCCCTACTTCCTGCAGCGTGGATCGTGCTCAGCCACCTCCAGGTACCAGTCCATCTCCATACTCTTCTTTCCCTCCATACTAACACTTATTTTTGCAGACATGCATTTCAGTCGCAGCCATAAATCCATGGGCAAAGCAAAGGAGTGATGTCATTTTTGCTAAAAAAAAAAAAAAAAAAAGGAAAATCAGGTGAGGACCAGGTATCTGAAACAGGCTGAGAAACACAGCAGTACATCATCAAAAGGGTTGAGCAGTGTGAGACACGGTCAACTGTCAACATCCACAGGAGGTTTAAAATATGAATGAAAAAAAAAAGTGGAGTGTTGGCAAAACAGCTGCTTCACTCTCACAGATGCTAATCTGAAAGTGCTGCTGAGCCTGCATCTGCTAAACTTGCCTGTTTTATAAGACCAGACATGGTTAGAGCTGCCATACCCTCTTAATCACGGCAAGGGCGCCTCCAGAATTTTTTCACAGTGGTGGCTATATGGGGGCCACTAAAAATATTGGGGTAGCACCGGACGCAGCAGTAGGGGTGACAATGGGAAATCGTTAGGGACATAAATTGTATACATAGGAATAAAGCACAAGTTCATGTTGAAACTCTTTGTAAGGTGTCTTTCTCTCTTGTGCTCACATTTATTAAAATCATTACCAACACAGGACAGTCTTGCCGTGGGGGGCGCTGGGAGGGAGGCAGCAAATTTTGGGGGTGGCCAGTTTATTTTTAATGTTAAAGTGACACATTAGAGCCATGAAACTTTAAACTGGCTGCGCTTCATTTGTGATGTTGGTAAGGTACAGCTTGGACAAACATATTTCCCAGCGCAGAATCAATATGGCACAAAAAAGGGCTCCAAATATAATATATATTTTTTAAATGATTAGAACGTGGTAGCCTAAGATGATTTTAAATCAAAACCCTGAACATAACCTGCTTCGACCAGGTTGTGTGTTCAGCTTGAATTTACCACACACTGATTTAGCCAGGTAAAAATAGAGATACTTTCAGGACACAGGGAAATCTGATTATCTCCAACCCATTAATCTCACTTTGTAGTATTGCACTCTGGTCTGCAACCCTGTAAATGTCATGATAGTAGCAGAGGTTTCAGAGGTTAGGGATTGATTCACTTTTCAGACCTACATTTCATGAGTGCTAACAATGAAAAATAACCTCAGTCAGCCTTGAAGTAAATGAATAAATAATCAGTCCCTATCCATGATTTTTAACATTCAAAAAACTGTTGGCATGGACCATGATCGAAAACAAATATTTCCATTATATTGCATTAAATAACCTAACAAACGCATTCCTAATTTTCTATTAAAAGTATAACTAAATGTAATATTTTGTTCAGGCCTGAATTTGTTACTTATTTAAATTGTTAATTATCAATAATCAGGTATGTAGTATTGTACAGGTTATGCTTATGATCACTACTTTGAATCTAGAATTCAAATATGTCGGTCCTTTCTGATTCATTTGCAACTTATTTAATTAATTGCACGTCAAAGCTGTTATAAATTAATTTCCCGACTGACCAATCAATTAATTAGGGGAACAGTTTTTGTAACACTGCACCTCAAGCAATCTGAGGAGCTACGTCATGCACACTGTTAATTCTCCAGTGCAGATGAAGAATTTAGAAAAGGCAATAGAAACTAACTATAGAGATTGTGGTGATGATATGTAGGCTACATTGGTTTGTTTGTGGTTAAATGCAGAGACAAATCTTTGCTGTTGATGTGTCAAAATTCCTGTTCTGAATGGAAAAGCTACCTGGGTCTTCACCGTTTATTTGTAATACTACGAATGTTGTACATTTAAGCAGAGGAGCAACACAATTTTATGCCATGGCACTCAGGTCTATTTAGTCTTGGCTGCACCTACAGCGTGTGGGTTTATTTGCTGAAGTGCCCAGTGCAGCAGTGCTGAGCCAAACAATCAAATTCAAACACAGCCAGGCACAACTGACTAAACAAAAGACATGATACTTCCCTGGACTATATTAGCCAAATTTTTAACAAAAGCTGAGTATTTAGAAGAGAAACCCACTGTCACTGCCTCTAGGTAGGGGATTTATTGTTTTCAAGGACTCCTACTGGTTCTCAGTATTACTGCGTGGGACAGAGGATAAGATTAAGTTGAGAAAAACTAAAACTCTGACTTCCTGTAGTACATAAAAAAAAATGTGACAAGACTTGTGAATGCAGAGCCACACTGATTATTGAGGCTTCTCTGTCAGTGCCAGCCTCAGATTTCCACCCTCCTCTTCCTTAGAGCTCGAGGTTGTTCCTTCCAGCCTGTTGATGAGTCACACCAAATTCATAACTGTTCTGGAAAAGTCACAGCATAATTTTACAGTTTCCTCCATGGTTCCAACCCAAACTGCTGTGTTACAGTGAACAAGTGAATTAAACAAAGAACTTTGGTATATGTTACTGAAGGAGTTGAGATTGTTCTAACTCTGTTGAATAGTATGCTTGTGTAAGAAAAGATAAGACTTCTGTAGAGGTGTTTTATATTCAACGCTGTCACATTTTGTCATAGTACACAATGACTCCCCACTTTAACCAGAGATTAGATCCAGAAACTCTACTGCAGTTACCTAACTTGTCAAATCACCACGCTATTATAAATGTCTTTTGTTGTGGCAGTGTCTGCACAAGGAGGGTTCCTGTTCTTACAGATTAAGAGCAGGAAGAAGTATCTAGACCCAGTATTAAGTTAAAAGGCATTTGTGCTATATAAAATCGACTAACTGCAAAACAAAAAGGATCTGTAGGTTTATGCTTTTGTGTGCTTGTGATTGGAAGGACTTTGCTTAACCTCTTCAGGATCTGTAATTCCTTGATTGATGTGACGAAACTGTTAACAACAACATAAAACACAGATATATTCACTGCAAGGGGATGAGTATGAAGGATGAGCCTGGTGTCAAAGTATATGTATAAAAAGTAGAATTTGCTATATTTTGTTTAAGAAGTCGCATATCCTGCAGGGTGATATGGTCCTTGGGAGTTTACCCAAAATGCACTTTTTGTAGTTTTCACAGTGAAATTATAAGAAAACAGATAAAACATCCAGAATGCCAATGTTTTTTACTGTTACTCCATGTCACAGACATGGAATTGGTGTGTTTCTAGTGTTGAAATGAAAAACTGCATAATAATAATGGTCAAATCTGATTAAAGAAAATATTGCCATGAACAAAAATATTTTGCCTTTAGATGGATGTCAAATTGACTTGATTGCAGTTCATGTAGACACTACATGAACTGTAAATACACTACATTAATTTACAATTAATTTACATTAACTGTAAATTAATGTAGGCATACCATAAAATGCAACCTTAATGTAGTACTTTAAGGTAGCATTTTGTAGTATTCAGGTAAAGATTTTCAGGGCTTCATTAAATATACTAAATTAATTGCTTGTTATCAGCTCATTCTAAGGGGGCCAGGTGGGCAGGACTGTTTGACTGTTAATAGAGTGACTTCACTTGTAAATGTATTCTTATTCTGAATTCAAATTGTCAGTTCAGTTCAGTACATACAGTCCTGTGAAATGAGAGATTTTACAGGGTCTACGAAGTCTTATGAAAAACTACATCCACCCTTACTCTGTCCATAGTAATTAAGAGGGTAAGTAGCAGTCAGGTGCTGCTATTTGAATGCATTTGATTATTGCTCATCAGCAGGTGTGACCAGTTGTAAATTTTGGCAGTTTGCTGGTGTAAAGCATTGTGCTGTGTGTTAAGGCAAAGCCACAATCTGGGAATGATCATCCCAGTAAATTCACCCAAAGGTCAGACTGGGTAGAGCTCAGAAAAACACAATGCTACATCTTGAGTTGGAGATGAAAACCCTGTCTCTCTAAAAAGAACATGGCAGCGTGGATCTGGACAATCCACAGGACTTCTGGGGCAATGTCCTTCGGACAGATGTTTGGTCATAATATGCCACATTTGGCAAAAACAGCATATGAGCACACAAACTTCATACCAACTGTCAATTATGGTGGTGGAGTAGTTATAATTTAGGCTTGTTTTGCCTTGGCACCTTGCAGTCACTAAGTTGACCATAAACTCCTCTGTTGCAATGACCAGGTCAAAATTCAGACCTCAACCTGATAGAAATGCTGAGCATAAAGAGAGCTGAGTATAATCAAATCCACACAAACCTCAATGAATTGAAGCAACGTTGTTAAGAAAAGTGGGCCGAAAGTCCTCCACAACATTGTGAGAGACTGATGAAATCATAGAGAAAATTATTATTTCAAGTAATTGATGTTGAAGATGACTGTAAAAGTTATTGAATCATGGGGTGTACTTCGTTTTTCACAGAACTGCTAGATTCCTGTGAAAACCTTTTTTTCACATGACTGCAGGTGAAAAAAATAAGCACTTATCAGTGGGTTTTACAGGACTATAGCATTATGCTTCACAGGTGAATGCCTCTCACAGATATTCCAACTGAAAAACAACTCTTATAATGATATTACTAAAATAAGGAAATTCATAAAACATACATACAGTACATGTCAGAGACACACGTAAAATTTCATTCATAAAATTTCCAGACTAACAGATGGAAAACATGGAAAGTACAGTACAGTCTACATTGGGGACATCTGGTGTCCAGTAGGTGTTACAGCAATATGTTGTGATTCCCCCTCCCCACACTGAAGTAGGACAATACTCTCAGAAGCCTATTAAGTGGTGACAGTGTAAGTAGAGTCAGCAAATTAAATGTCTTCACTAAACAACGTTAACCTAAGCAAATTATTCAATAATTTTGTCCAGTGCATAACTGTAAATGTGAGGGCAACAAATCTGTTTCCAAATGTCAGTTCATTCAGACAATCATGATGTACATGAATGAACTGCAGCACAGCTGTGTAGTGCTGACTCAACTTACAGGCTAATTTCTTTTTCATTACACTGTTGTGGGTGTACAGTCATTACATCTGCAGCAAACTATATGATTGCTCAGTTATTTGGTTATTCAAAAACAACACAGTGGTCATTCCTACTCTAACAAGAATGTTGGAGACTCAGTGAAGACCACCATTGGGCAAAATTAACAGCTTTGATAACTTTAAATGTACTTTTGCATTTAGAGACTGTAACACAAACAAAAATGCAGATTTATTCTAACAACTTCCTCAATGCATTAGCATTTTTTGTCTTTAGTAGGTCTGTAATAGGGTTGGGAAAATGAACATTATTCAACATATACAGTAGTATTGCTTGCTTTTGTGCTAGGTTATTGATGCAAATATTTTCTGTTACAGACAGGCAGACTCTCTCTTACAAGACTGTATGCTTTCTTTTTAATGTAAATTATTCCAAAATGAATACAGTTAAACTGAAATGAAGTTGCAATACAGCTGAAGAAACAGAAGGAAACACGATGTGAAGAACAAACCAGAGAGCTAATTGTGTTGTGAGTTAGCCGCTGATTCCTAGTCTGTACACAACAGCTGTAACAAATAAAAGAAGGTAGTTATGGTAGCTGACCTCAACTAGCAATGTAGTTAATCAATTTAATTTGAACTCCAAAAGGAGTGACTAAACCATACTTCACTAAAAATGTAGAAAATAACAACTTTCACCAAACGAGAGTAGGTTATAGGATCGTTGCTGCACATCCGCCTTTACTTGACAGGTTTTAGCTTACTAACCAAAAGCAGATGCAGTGGATTTAAATGACAAAATAAATGTCAGACACTTACATGATTTTTGCAGTTTATAATTCCAGCACAACATCCAACATTTTCCCTTTTTCCCCTCGTCTCCATAATTTTCCTTGTTCCTTTCACTGCTATCAAGGCTGCTAGCTTGTTTACTGGCTCTTAGCTATGGCTAGCTTTAGCTTTACCCACTTTGCCTTTGTTAGCCTCTTTAAATTTCCATGTTTACTGGGGTTTTGCTGTTATGAATCTTTTCATGGTGGAGCCCTCCACCAGGAGCTGATAATGAAGAGGTGATGACGAGGTGATTGTTACATTATTTGTTTATGCATTACTTATTTATTCATCCTTTTGATTACATTTAAATGCAATGTTCCATTTTTACATTATACAATCAAACTGATCTCAAGATTCAGTCTTAAGTCAGTTTGTTTCATTGGAAATGTCTACTTTGCAGTATAGAAGAAAGAAAGTATACTTTATTGATCCCCTTGAGGAAATTCCTCTCTGCATTTAACCCATTCACTCAGTGAAGCAGTGGGCAGCCATTGGGCGCCCGGGGAGCAGTGTGTAGGGACAGTACCTTGCTCAGGGGTACCGCAGGGTAGCCGTTCAGCAGATTTGAACCACTGTATGAGTGGCCCATTTTTGCTAAATAGTTGGCCCAGTTGACCTAAACACTGCTCATATGAAAAAATGTGGAAGAGCTGATGTTTCAAACAGTGTCCCTGTTAAGTGACGGCTGTGTGCAGACAGGAATAGGACCCAAGGTGCAGACTCCAGAGACAAACTTAAACCGAAACAGCTTTAATGTTGAACTCAAACATAACATAACTGGAAAAAATCAAAATAAACTAACACCAGCGGACTGACAAAACACACAGCAAAATAAACGGTAGATCACAACACGGACACAGACAAACACAGGGCTTAAATACACAGAGGGGGCAATCAGGGAATGAGTAACAGGAGGGAAACACAGCTGGGGCAAATCAGGCCTAACGAGACAAAGGAAGCAAAACCAGACACATTAACATGAGACATGGACTTTCAAAGTAAAACAGGAAACATAACAGAGACTGAACAAAAGACACAGACTCACATGCAGTCACTACAACAGAGGGAACAGAGACGTGGGACCAGGGCAGACAGGGGAGACAGCAACTAAGGATTACACAGACAGAAAACCAGAACACTAAAACTCTAACCAAACCCCACCCAGAGAACCTTAACTAAGAATAATCCTAAAACCCGTAAAGCAAAGCTAGAATATAATGAAATAACAAAATCAAAGAACCAAAAACACAAAACACTGGGTCAACGACCCAGGGACCCTAACAGTCCCAAGTGATTTACCAAAACGTTACCTGTAGTAGCGCTGTATATATAAATACATACATTTAGGATTGATGTACAAGAAATAAAATGGGATTTGCTTCACATATCTTTGAAAATATCGTGAGGAAAATAAGAATTAAACATTTGACTTGGTCTAGCTGGTAATAATAGATATTATAGATGAGATTAGTGAAGACTGTTGATCTATTTAAGTTCATAGTCTTACTATTAAAGGCTACTGTGTAAACGATCTGTACTTTATATTTATTTAACTTCCTTCTAATGTAGTGTTATGTTCAGTTGTTGGATTAAAAAGAAATCTTCAAAAATAAACAGCCAATGAGCATCTTTAATATTTTATTTAAAAATCTAATTAACGAACTGACTTGAAAATGATACATTGGCGACATAATTGTGCCAGTAAACAAATACAGACAGTAGAGTAGAGACATTCAGACATTTGTATCATTCAGCTTGTTTCTGGTACCAAGCAATCTGTGACATTTTCAGCTTCTTTCAGTAAGTCAAACAAATCCAGGATGCAAAAATAGAAAGCTTTGAGTTGCATGCTGTCTGAGTCACTGTGCTCTTTATATTTTGGTACTCACCTGCTGTGTCTTACAGAACTCCAGTTGGAAGGAAGTCAAATCTGTGACTAGGTTTGGTTGAACAGGTTTCAGTGTGGCTTTTTATTACATATTGCATGTAATTACCTGCAATCAAAAGTTGATTGTGTAATTTTGCTATGTTAGAAACAGTCTGCACCTTTCTATGTCAGTGTAGAGTCAACATCTGAAGCTTGCTATGAAATTCCTGCAGTATGCTACTGAAGACTAGCATATTTTTCTATGTGTGCCTGAGTGGGAGATGTTCAAAGTGCATCAAAAGCGCTGCAGAGGTGAATGAGTGATGCTTCAAATGGGGCACAATGGCTTTTTCTCAATATAGCTTATAATTATTCAAGCTGTGATTTTCTCAGTCTTAATCTAGTCAGTGGTTGATTTAGGGCTTTGTTTGGTGGTAAAAAAAAATACCAGTTTTGAGTGCCCATTAAACTCAAGCTTAATTTATGGAGCAACCTTTGGATTTAGGCTTTAATTAACTAGGGTTTTACAGATAGATGCCATTATAAAATTAAGGAACATGATTACTCTCTGGTATGTATAAAGCAATATATAATTAAAGAAAGATTTCACTAATAGATCCAGTCAGGCTAAAGTAGGTAGCTGTAGGGAGTTTCATAGTACTTCTACTTGAATTGTATTACTAAAACAAAAACCAGAGCATCCAATTAATAAAATGTAAAATGTATATATGCAAACAAATCGATAGTATCTACATTTACCATGGAGATCATACTTGAAAGAGGATATTATATATATTTAACTAAATTGAACTACGCTTTTTCTGCCAAGACTATTTTCCTACAAATTGAATGGCATCAAAATTTCTATGCTGAACAACTAAATCTTAGGTGTTTTAATATGCCTTTGCAAAGCAAGTGAAATTGGTATGTTTCCAATTCTGCAGTGAGGTCCATCTGGATGGATTACCATCAAATTCTCATTTGCACTTGAAAGACCAAAAATCTTCCCATAATCCTTCATTGCACTTTCCAATAAACACAGACATATTACAAAGCTGCTGATGCTTTCTACCTTAATGACATTTCCCTCCCTTTAAGTGCCCTAATGCCTAATCTCTCATCAAGCTATGAAGCTTCTCTATCACACACTCGTCAGCTTTGGCCACATTTATCATTCTCATGTTATTTTTTGTTTTTATCCTCTACCCTTGTCTTGCCTTGTCCTCGTCCTCTCATCTTGCTTGTGCTATCCAGCGGTATCATATCCTCCCAGTTACAAGAAGACTCCACCTCCTGTGCCCCCGCGCACCACCACCAAGCCTCTTATCTCTGTAACAGCCCAGAGCAGTACAGAGTCCACCCAAGATGCCTACCATGAGGGCAGGCATCCACGGGGTGGTCTGTGGACCACAGACAGTCTCGGCCGTCCCATCTACAGCTCCATGGACAGCCTGGACAGCACCAAGGCGGTTACCATGGCCATGGAGTCAGCAGCAAGCAAGAGGCATGCATCGTTAGGCAGCCACACCTCGGTCCAGACATGCGACAAAGCAGTGCTGGTGTCCAAGGCTGAGGAGTACCTCAAAACCCCACGTTCCTCTATTGGGATACAGGTAACAACATAACCGCGGGCCACTCACTGCCTCTTTCGCCTCTATTGCTAAACCCCACCTCCCTCCACTCCCCTGATTACACCAAGTGCCAGGAAGGTCCCATTTGTCTTCTTTTGTTCTATCCTGGCTGAAAAGCTACTTCTCATTTTGATAAACAGATCGCCAATGTGAATCAGACATTCAGTATAATCTCCACTCTTTGCTCTTAATCGTATAAACTTGGGTCATGATTCAGAGAATGAAAATTACGATGGCATTTTGGCTTCTATGATTTTTGTCAAAATGTATAAATAACTGATCTTTTTTAATACATCTCTGGGCACAGAGACATTAAAATGCTGAACTGACAAACTACAAGTGTCCACACTAGTTCAATGTGTCATTTTTCTTTCATTGTGACTAATACCCAAATGTGCATGGCTATGGAGTCTTGTTGACCTTTACATATGTCAAGACTACCGAGGGCTTATTAAAAGAACCCAGCAGCAAGGATAAATTGGTGATTTATGTTTTTCACCTCTTGAACACACCTTCACTACCGGCTGAGGTAGCTCCCATCATGTTACTGCTTAAACAAGGAGGTCTGCTGTGAGATAAAGAAGGTCTCTGTTTTATGTACTGTCTGGCTTAGCTAGCCCTGAAGGCAAGTGTCCACATTCCACTCCATTGCAAGAATTCCTTTGCAGACTGTATTTATTTTGGACCTGTGGGCATTTCCACATATTTTCTATGAAAATGTGTCTACCAGGACTCTAATGTAAACTAGATGATTTTCTATTGCATAGTTTGTTGCTCAAGAAGTGCCAAACTCCTGGATAAAATTCAACTTTTTCTGGGACCTGTGCGAATTTCTAGGGGTAACCAATTTTATCACATAGATCATGTACTGTAATTACAAACAGGTCATATGGTGCTTTTTGTAGCAAAAATTAGGCACATTTGAGCTCTAAGTTCTACTTATGGCACTTTTATGGCATTTATGACTCAGTTACAGTTCTGGCAAATGTTGTGTGGGTCAAATATGGCAAAAAAGTCATGGCGTGGCAGGTGTTTTGTAGGCCAGAGATATACCAAATCCCACAGCACACCTGACATTCAGATTGTGTAAAATGACTCTTAAGTCAGGCTTACACTGAATCAATGCCATCAAGCTCAGTGTGGTAAATAGAAAACTGCAGATCTGAATCAGCCAATCTATCAATGATGATGTAAATTGATAATGTAAAGCTACTCTTACACGTAAGTTGGGTTTTTTTTATACTTGGCAGTATGTAACAAACATCTCAATGCCAAACTTCTTTTAGGTGCTAAAAATGTGCATCTGTACTTTGGCGTGTCTGTAAATTTCAGTGTTCTCTTGTTGCATTTATCAGGTGGAAACTGTGACAGACTCTGAGACTGACACTAAAGGCCTTCCTCAGTTCCATTCTATAGGGATCCAGGTGGAGGATAAAAAACGGTATGTAGCAGAGATGAAGGAAAGTGTCACAGTGCATTTTTTTAAATCTCAGTTAGAGTCTTTACATTTCATTGTGTTCCTGGTAGGCATGGAAGGTTCAAGCGCTCCAACAGTGTGACCACTGCAGTGCAAGCAGACATGGAGTTGGAGGGATTTCCCTCCATGGAGGATAAAGGTTTGCAGTTCGGTGGTGCCTTCGGCCGCCACTCTGAGCCCAGCACGCCAACACAGTATGGAGCGATCCGTACGGTGCGCACACAGGGCCTTTTCAGTTACAGGGAGGACTACCGGCCTTCCAGTGGGCCACCCAGCCCGCAGCCTGAACCCTGGCTGGTTGAACCCAGCCTGGAGAGCACCGACACAGGCCGAGTAACCCCCCTCCGCAGGGACGGCAGCTGGTTTATGCAGCTCCTTCACAACGAGACCAAGCGGTTGGAGGCATGGTGCAAAGGGATGGAGGCAGAGGCAGAGGAGCATGACCTGTCAGAGGAGAGTGAGTGTACTGATGGAAAGGACACTTTTGTCAAATCCAGTGCTTTTGTTGTGGGATTTCAATGCTTTCATGACATTTACTCTTTGAATGTTCTTTTTGCAGACTTTATAGCAGTATAGCCAAGCCGAACATTCTCAGTAATAGCTGTCATTGAAAATGAGAATACTGAATCGTGACAGGCATTTTGTGAGCAGATTGGATTCTTGTGAATGACCGAAAGATATTGCTCACCATGTTGGCTTTTGCCAAGCTGTCTGTAATAAAGCACTCTCTCTTTCTCCCTCTCTCTGTGCTTGTGTACGTGTCCAGTCCTAGGAAAAATCCGAAGTGCAGTTGGGAGTGCTCAGTTATTAATGTCTCAAAAGTTTCAGCAGTTTTACTGGCTATGCCAGCAGAATCTGGTGAGTACTGCATGTCTTTCAGACAAAATCCCTGTTTCAACATGCTGTACAAAAACACGCAAAAGGTCAGGGGTAAACTTGTTGATTGGCTCCTTTTTCTCAGCGCTTTGAGAAGGCGCTTGGCCTGACGCTGCACTTGTGTGCTTTCCAGAAATAGACCACAGAGATCGATAGCGAAGCAGTCTCTCTGCAGCTATTGACCCCGCAGTAAACGAAAGGGGAATTCCAATAGGAAGCAGCACCTGTGTTGAGGCTATCCATTAATGCACAGAGACAGCAGTCTGAATGGGAACTCAGAGTTTTAGTAATGGACTGCCACGCTGTCTCACTGTTTAGCCATCATGTCACGTCTGCTGGAAACTCATACCTTTTCTAATGCAGACTTTACAGAGTCAGCATATATCAAAAGATTGCAGAATCGTAAATGGGGATGTTTCTGCAGATACACAAAGAGGCAGCCTGAAACTTAATCACCTCTTTATAAAACGTAGATAATTAAAACAAAAATGTAAATGAAATGCAAAACCTTGTGGAGGTGGCTGAAATCACCTCTCTCACTGCCTTCTGCTGGGTTTTTTTGTGTCTCTTAACTCACTGTGTTGCTCTTCTTTAGATGATTTTGGGCCACTCTCTCTCTCCCTCTCTCCCCTCAGATAATAGGATGATGAATTAAGTCTAACATTGGTAGTGACAAGCTTTAGATTGCCCTGAGCTTTCAGACGTGTCTGAATGGGAGAATGGATCTGTTTCACCTGCTGGATGGAGGAAGAACTGCATTTTGTATCTATAAAAAGCTCTGAATTTGCTTTTGAAGTTTGGCTTGACAGACCTTTTCTTGATGTCAGCGCACACTCATTCTCTGTGTGGTGTCTGAAGTAATGAGGCTCTATCTGCTTAATTTTGTGAGCTGTGATTTGCAAGCAACATTCAGATGTGCATATATGTAGAAATACAGCAGCAGTGTGTACCAGGTTTCTCTTTAACATGAAATGTAATCTTCTTAGATAATAATTACATTACGGTACTGTCCGAACACAGAAACTAAATCTTTCTGGAAAAACACTCAGGCAGGCAAAATCGATGCTGTTACAAAAAGAAAAACACAACAATTTTGTAACAGTGTATCTCTTTGCTTCCGTGTCTTCAGCATTCTGCACATATGCGACTTGTTTATCACAGTAATCGCTTAAGCAAATAATGGAGAAAAAACAATTCTCAAAAACTGCCAGCTGAGGTCATGAGCCAATGTTGGTGCTATACTGCCACACAGTGGTCAAAGTGGTGAGGTTCAAGTGTAGCTTTGAGTAACGGCAAGTCCCAGAAACAAGGTGGACTTTTGAACATTGGATTTGATGCACATCTTTATAAGCCCCTCCATCTCTTTAGGACCCCAGTGCCATGCCCAGACCCACATCTCAGGACCTGGCTGGATTCTGGGACCTTTTGCAACTTTCCATCGATGACGTCACTGCCAAGTTTGATGAGCTGCAGCAGATCAAGAGCAACCAGTGGCAGCTGGTGGAGAGCCCAGAGAAGAAGGTTAAACCATTTGCTCTTTTCCTATGCTTCCACACACTTATAATAACAAGTCATAATGGGCTCCAGATGAACTCACTCAGCTTTAGAGGAAACTACACCAACAGCATTTCTGTTCCATTTTTAGACCCTGGACCAGCAGGAGGTTACAAAGCATAACAAAGGAGGCGGCACAAGTTAGATTAGAAAGCTAGTGGCATCCTCTAAAAGTGACTTCCATTTTCATATTATCACTGAGTATCTGGTTCAGGGTGTTAAAGTAAAATCGAATGGCTCTTAAGCTTTTAGTAATTTCATCCAAGTTGCTTGTGAAAAATTTATCAGCTCCTAATGTTAATGGGGAAAAACACTTGGTGTGAGTTTCCTTAATGTCAGACTAAATCACAGGCAGTTTTCACACAGCATTTAAACACACAAATTACTTTGACTTTTTATCACAACATCTGCACCGGATAGTTACTGGCTTTTTCAGGAACACGATAGATCAAAGCCACTTTTATTTTGAAAGCTCTAACACCGTCGGACAAGCATAAAGCAAAAGTTTACCTCCGACAGGCGCACAAAGCACAGGAGCAAATATGCAAAACAAAATCCAAGGCGTGAATAATGATTGTGGTGACATAAAAGACATTTTAGTCATTAAACCATCCAGTTAAAGCACTTTCACCACACCATAAGTGAAAGCGCACTTACACGAGTGGCGCTCATAGACGAAAGAGCCGCATTTGGAAGCACATTTAAATGGTAATGTGTTTTTAGAGATCGACAGCATCCTTCAGGGCACTTGGATAATTATCTTCATGCTTGCGAGGAGTTGTTTACCTCCAGCAGTTAATAGACACGTTGCAATCTCTATGACGCCGAACCCTAGCGGTGACACAGATGCTCTGCCTTTTCACCTTCGAGGCAGGCTCCATTTAAACCAACACCGGCTTCCCAAACAGCCGCAAAAAGTTCACCCTGCAATCAGACTGTGTATCAGTGCGATTAAATGTTCAAAGGTGAAGATTTTCGATGACACAATCAGTATGAGTTTCCAGATTTTGTGTATTTGTGCAGCTTATGGACCGCAAGAGGCAGATTTTTGCATTTTTAAGCATCCAGCAGCAGTGAGTAATTAATGAGTAATTCTGCTGATGAATTTTCATTTTGTAGCCAATGCTGTTGGTGTAAACGACTTCTCTTCTCGAGTTAGACAACACGCTGTGATACCGGACTCTTTCCAATTTAAATTTGCTCAGATATCAAGAGTCTATATATTAAAGCCAAATTTAGCCCGAAATCAAGTCTTCATAGTGAATAAAGGTGCTTTAAGCATTTAATTAATTGGCCCCATATTAATCAACATTTATCATCTCTGCCCAACTTCATTCTACATTTGTCCACTGTGGCAGTCTTTTATCTGCTAGTTAATATTAACTTTTCCTCATAACTCTCAATTACAAGTTCTTGCTCTGAGCTCAATAAGAAACCCCTTTGTGTTTTTCCATAATGCAATCACGTACAACAAGCAAACTAAATAAAAAGTATACATTTTCATGTTTTGGGTTGTTTTTTTATTTATAATCTGATTTTTTTTCTGTTTTCTTTGCACAGTTTACTTCCACGTCCCAGCAGAAAATACCATAATAAATATCAGTTACTGGGCTGTTATCTTGTTTAGTACATATTAAGAAGCCTACTGTGAACCAACTTCCAGTTGTTATGTCATTCTGTGTCTTAAGGAGCGGAAGTGGCCACCCCCTCTGCCAAAAAGGTCAGCCAAGGGGCGTGGCGGTGTGATGCGGGAACGCTCTCTGGACCTTCAGGACCGCCAGCGACAGGAAGCCCGCAGACGCCTCATGGCTGCCAAAAGAGCAGCTTCTTTCAGACAGAACTCGGCCACAGAGAGGGCAGACAGCATCGAGATCTACATCCCTGAAGCCCAGACGCGGCTTTGAGGTCCACGGATTCATCCTCAGCTCCCCTCGTGCACCTCCACTCGACACCAGCACGTGGCGCCACATTCAGCCCCCTTGTGCTGTCAACTATTGTCGCTGCTCATTCATGTTTCCATCTGTTGTAATACCCTGGGTTGTCTCTACTGAATCTACACTAAGCAAATATTTCACCTGTAGAAACCAAAAGTGTCTCCAGAACAGTAAAAACTGGACAACAGATCATTTCCCTCTTGTTTTTTTGGTCATTTGTTTGGCTAATGATGATCTTGGGCCAGCTGAATTGGTGATGATAGTATGGTGTTTATGCACGGATATGGATATTTAAAATAAGAACAACAACAGCAAAAAAAAAATTTAAATCAGTTACATTTCTGCCACTTGGAGCGGCTAAAACAGAAATTTGCTTAGTGTAGTTTTAAGACCACAGGGGATTTTTTTTTCCGCCCCCACGAGTTCTGCACCATGACGATTAGTTTATAAAGCCTAAAACAAACATTCATCCTTACTACACCACATCACTGCTTTTTTTTATTTTCCACACCAGCATTTTCTTATACCTCTTTTCCACTTATACAGTGCCAGTGCCAGTTCTGCCTCGGTGCCTTTTGAGAACCAGCCCACATTTTGACAGGTCTGAAAAAACGGCCACTACATCATAGAAGTCACAGCAACAGAAAAGCCTTTGTGGACAGATACGCATATGCATATGCCAATTATTGGTGGATTTAATGCAGTAGCCCCCTCCCATAGCCACCGATGGTTCCAGCTTTGGGACAGGCAATTTTACGGCACCTCTGCTTCTTTGGAAATGGACGGAACCAGCTGAAGATTAGGCACCTGGACTGGGCGGGTGGAAAAGGGGTACTAGACTTTTCCATCGTTCCCATTCTTGCACTGTGTTGAGGGTGATGTTATACAGCACTTGCCACATTTAAAAGAAAACACAAAAGTGCAACTTTTTTCTCACCAGCAACAGTGGTCTTGGGCTAAAGCAACCTGTGCAGGGGTGGTTTCCCATAATGATGTCACTTAGCGCGATTGACGAGCCTCTGAAAATCTGTAACTGCTGAAAGAAATGCAGGGGAAGTCATTTCTTCAACGCTTCCCATTAAATTTGAAGTCGGAATAGATGGAGAGTAACAAAAGTTTTGATAGGGTGTTTGGGACCCTTCATATCGATCCAACAATACTTTTCCATGTTTAATCAGGCATGCTGCAGCTGCTGCCCAGTGTTGCTGACTGAGATCTAAAAATATGACTAAAACTCCATCATTTCCACATCCATTCATGTTCATCAAGACTAGACAATTCTACGACATGTAGGTTATTTGCTGCTGGATGCATTTCCATTGCAGAAAAAATATGAATTATTAACAAAACAGAGTTTTACATGGCCCGAAAGAGGTGACTGTATCAAAAAAAAAAAAAAAAATGCATTTTGCACCTTATAATATACATGTTTGTATTTCCAAGGGAAATGTAGTTTATGAAGCTCATGCGATATTGTTGCAGTTGAATTGCAAGGACAGATATGGAAAATTTACTACAGAATTTCATACAGTATTACTCTATAGGTCATAGAAATTGCACCTTTTTGTCATATTGTTTCTTTTTTTTCTTCTTAATGGCATTACTGCCATCGCGTAAGGAAATATTGTAATTCTAACACTTTTACTTCTACTTGCAGTATCTATCATATGACCAACGTCACAATCTACAGTAAACATTTAGTATTTCTAGTTAAACCTGTTGTTGGTTGATTTGACAATGTATCTGTCCTAATGACTAAAAGGTGTTCTTTAGCTAACAAACCATTTCTCATAACTCACTGCATCTGACCTTTTTACCAAGTGGCGCATAATGAAAGCCCTTCTGTTCTTATTTTGATCTGCTCACATAGTCTAGGAAAGACAGGTGCAAATGACACTTTAACAATATTCAGTTACTATAGTAAATGGTGCTGCTTTTTACTCTAAAACTGTTGTCCTTTACCCAGTCCTATGTGCACGCACACACACACACACTCAAGGACTTTTTAAACAGAGATTTATTAATATGGTGCCCACCGTCTCTCCGATGACTTGTGGTAGATTGTGACTTTAGAAACGATCATCTTTGCAATGCTCTTGCCCTCAGTGATGTAAATGTGGAGAAGGTACGATGGCTTAACTTCCTTTCGAAACTGCAAAGAGGTCAGGGATATCTGTTTATCGCATGGGAGAGATTACAGGCTTTGACATTCCACCAACCTCAAGCTAAAATCTAATACCGTATGCCCGCCTTGAGCCAAGGGCATACTGCTATAGCTGAAAGTACATAATAATACGCGTCCATATTTTATACTCCCTGACACCTGCGATGCAAGCCCATTCATCCTCATTTGCCAATCTGAACCCCAACTAATGAATACGAATGTTGTTATGGCCACAGGAATGGCACTCAGTAGGGGAGAGCAGTCTGTGTACCATCAGTACTTCTGGGAGGCAGTGAAACATGCTTGTTGTGAGGGATCGTGGGTGTACATCAGTGCTAGAAGACCCCACCTTACCAGATGGCCTTAACCAAAACAGTCGTGAATGTACAGCCTCCGATGATGCAAAAAATAAATAAATAAATATAAAAATAAGATGAAATTCCAACTAAATTGGACAGGGCTGAAGTCACTCTCAAACCTTTTACTTTTTTATTGTATATTTGCTCATCTCAAATCGTTTTTTTTTTTCTACTTAATGTGACTGATTTAAAGACGAAACAGGGTGTGATAAAATAACAGGAGACACAGAGAGAATTACATCCTCCTACGCTTTTATCAAATTTGCGATATCACAAATGTAGTTCACAGTTATTCCAGAAGTGTGAAGTATTGCTGAAAGAAAAGCGCACACTTATCTGTGAAAACTGAAATCGTAGTAGAGCCACTTCACACATGAATGAATATTATAAATTAAGTAAAATAGGATTTAATGAAAGCAGGATGTTTAAAGTAGGCAGATTTATATAGAAAGTAACTGTTTCACATTTAAACTGAGTAATAAAGGTAATCTGCCATCCAGCTCCTTGTTATCCACATTTGAGTTCAGTGATTTAGTTGATCTAAATGCATATATGTCCCTGCAGGCTGTGTGTCCCACTGTAGAACAAAGAAGACGGTACAGTAATTTCATCCAAAAGACGACAAGGACTTGGCTTTAATTTCCGAGGAATCAATACAATTTACAGCCAATAATAACACACAGCTTTTAGTGTATTGCAAGAGGGAGGATCCAGTACGTCCTGACTGGTCAGATTTATTTTCCCCTTTTCAAAGAGGAAATCGTTTTTTCATTCATATCCATTTATTTGGGGCTTTTCTTTTTTAATTCATACCGTTCTGTAGTGTTTTTGTTTTGGGTTTTTTGGGGTTTTTAGAGCAGTTGGTTGGTGGAAAGGTGTGGTCTGTCTTTAATTTATTGATGCTATACAGGCTGCTGTTTTCATCCAGCCCATATTATCACACAGAAACCTTTTCTTTAGCCTCCTTGCTTGGGTTGCATTTGAACATTTTGTCCATTTTTCACATAATATTACAATTTACTACTTTATAATCATTCATACAATTTACCATCTTAGCGTTCATTGCCGTATGCATATAATACACGGTTAAGCGCTTCAATGAGCACGTATATTCTCAATTATTACCCCCAAATCTAAGAACTGTGGTGATTTTGTTCATCACTCTTCATTTATTTCGTCTTGGGGGGCTGTCTCCATTTCCATCCTTTAATATCATTTCCCTAGCATCTTCACTCAGTTTTGGTCTGTAGGTTTGGTCTGTTGGTTTAGAAATATGAAAGTCCTCATTTATTTCACTGGTTCCTCCCTAAGTTGCGCCCTTGGAATGATTGGCGACCGTTTCTCTGAATTATGACAACCGTTGATGGGCTATTTTAACAATCCAGCTGCTCTTCCACCTGACTGAAAGTCATGCAAATCAAGTCTACTTCCCACAGACTGAATACTGTGATACCATCTTATGTAGTACTTGATGATATTTAAAGAACTACCTATTGAAAAGAAGCTTTTTTATTTTTATTTGTTGTCCTTTTGTAGCTTTGAGTTACTGTTGCTTGCAGGCTTTTCAACCAGTAAGCTTGAGTAAAATCTACAAAATGACTTTGAAGCTTTCTGAACTCGCCACCTTAAAAGAATGGCTTAAAAAAATAAACAGGATTCAGAGTAACGGCCACACGGCATGAATGGGAGGGATGTTTTTGCACCAACTGCATGTCAGGAAGGCTAACGTCAGAAACAAAGATGTCCTCAAGAGTCGCAGGGATGCTAATATAATATATTGTAAGTGACAATAACGGCACACATGGTCAAAAATTTAGCTAAAGTGTGTGCTATTGTGGAATAATGCAGGGCTATTGTGTAAACATGGTACCATTTACCCTTCATTTGCATACCATTTCCAATGAAACACATAATATTTGTCTTTCACGTCTCCCAGTTTTTCCCATCATGCTATGAGGGGCTTAGAAGTCTGGCAACTATGTATATGACAAATCCTCAGGTGCCTTAAAGTTTGATTCACATAGGACTGAGTGAATGTTTTTGGGTTGAAGTATGGAAAAAAAGACTGCAACCTGCAAAGGACTGCACCACTAAGAGTGCAAGTTTGTCTGAAATACCTTTACAAGGGCTGGATACCGGGCTGGGTCGGGCTGCAGAATTTCAAATGGATTTACATTTATATTTGACTGATTTAGAGGTCCTATTGTAATAAACTTCAGCACAATACAGTCTAGAGGGTATCAAAGGAGGATTTGCTATTTTGTTTTCCACATTTTCTTTGACAAAGATTCATAGTGACTCGTTTTTATGACATGAGATGAAAAACACACACAAATTGCAGAGAACCAGTGGATATGACAGTGTAAATGCTACACGTCAGAGTGTATGTCACATCCATTTCTGCTAATCATAAAAGATTACTTATTTAATAAGGTCTTTCTTTTAATTCCTCCTAGCTGTGATATTGTAATCTTGGGATGTTTCTGCCATTCTTGGCATTTACGTCTACAGAATCGGGAGACTGACAAAACTTGACCAGCCAAAAAAAAAAAAGGGCAATAGTGTTTTCATACAATGACAGGCAGGCTCACCTACAGCTATTTACCTCATGGTTTAGTGTTTTAGCAAACATGGTTTTAGTAGGAGTAGTTGTGATCTCCACAGGAACACTTTGTCACGCCTGTGTACTATGCAGCAGTATTTCTGTGGGGCGGCAGAGCTTGCAGGCCCTGGTGCAGATCATCTTTCCTTCGCAGAGAGCCGAAAGCACCACGTTCATTGAGCTGTGCACCGCAGGAGCTAAAACACCACGCTGTCATCGCCATCCAGATCCTTTACAGCTCACTCCTCATGACTCAGTTTAGGATTTCTTTAATGCTGATTTCAAAATAATATAGTGTAAACAGAAAGTCGACTAACTTTCAGCAACGCTCTAAAAAAAGATTCACGTGAACGTGACGAGTCAGAGTTACTTTGCCGGGGTCACGTTTCCCTGTTTAGTCGCTATTCAAGATAGCTGTTATGCTTTACAGCGTCCATATTTTAGCCTGACATCATATAACAGCTGTCCTGAAGTTAAACCTCAGAGAAGTCTGTATAGGTGCTGAATCAACCAACGCTTCTCCTTGTACTTTTATTTTTCCTGAATTTGCTTTTTTATTTACTTTTTTTTTTTGGTTGTTGTTTTATTCTGACAATCAGCAAACACCAAAAGCATCAAAATGCACACACGCATACACACTACAACAGCAGTGTCATTGTATATCCTCAAGATAGCGCCCTGAGTTGCCCTTCTTCATATCTTGGGGATCTTTAAAGTCTCTTTGGACTCCATTTAAAATATCGTTCAATTTTTCTTTTCTCCTTGTTTCCGATACAGTTGCACTGCAAAGATGTCTTTCTATTGCTTGCTCTCTCTTCTCGTAAAACCACGTGACTTTCGATGACATCAGAGCGTCGCCCTGTTGTCGCAAGCCAAACAACCGTCGAGTCACTGTTGAGCACGTTTCACGTCATGCTCCCACGTGTGAGAGTGTGTCTGCTCTTCAAGCAATAAGCCTTATTTAAATATTAGGGATAACTTTTCATTATCTTCTTTAGATTTTTTTGACACATCTGTGGGAAGTCGTAGGGGTTTCGGTTTAGCAGCAACCGGCCTGACACTGAGGAAATACACTTTAATGTAGAAAAGTTGACCTTACCACTTTCATTCGTGTCTCCTTTGAAGATGCGAGCAGTTGCTTAGCTTGACCACATATACTCGAAACAGGGGAAAGAATCTGTGCATGTGAAAAAATAGACTAAAACATCAAACTACAAATATTTGCTATGTTGGTTTGGAATATGACAAGATGTCTTTAGGGGTGCTTGCAGTAAGATTTTATGACCTTTAGAGAGACACGGATTGTCTGTTCCCCACAGTCTTTATGCTAAGATAAGCTATCTGCTACCTTCATGCTACCTATCTGCAACTGCAACGAAATAGCTAAAACTGATTCATTCAGAGATCACTCAGAACATTGATTTAAATCCAAAGTGATATAGGTGCTCAACAACCTTGCATTTATATAAGAGCAGAATCAGAATGCAACCAGGGGAGTCGAGTTAACTCAGTGGTGTAGACTGACCTTTTATCTCTGTATTTAGAAATTTCACATCAATTGTTTGCAAACCCTCCCCAATCCATCTGACAATCAGTCTGAGTCAAATTGCAGCTGTTTGGAGACGGGCTGCCTCCCGCCAGGCAATCACCTTGCGGTCAGTTGTGAGTAAGAGTGCAACTTCTTGTAGTCAATCTCCGAATACAAAAAAAGAATCAACGCAATCAGTGAGAAAACTAGGAGGATGTCGTCCTGTTTTCCTCTATAGTGACTGAGCTGTTCTACAAACTTGAGAGTGGTACCGCGCTTTTCATCAAACTCTCTTAAACAGTCTAATAATGAATGTCTAAGGCAGCCTTAAAGGTTACGTATTTCCTCTTATGTCATTCAGGTTGTTTTTATTGCTCATTTCAGTGTAACCTCAGTGCCCATCTGTATTATGGGTATGAGTCATAATAAATCATCTGATCAGCTCTAAATATAGACACTTTCAAATTTATACATTGTCCTAATAGGGTTTTGTTTTGTTGAGTTTCTTTACATTTATGTTGTTTGTTTGTTTCTTTTTTTAGTGTCTCATGTTTTATGAGGAGAGAGAACAGTCACTTTTGTTTGCCTTTGGTGGAGAAATGTCTTGTATTGTGGCTGTGGGTAGAAAACATTTTTAAAAAAAAGGCCTCTCATGGGTTTTTGGAAAGTGACATGAGAAAAATTTCATAGCATAAAAAGGTTTGTGGTTAGCTTAAAACTATTTTGAAATTGTTAGATATATCAATAATGAGGATAAATATAATGCCAAATATTCAGTATTTGTACAGAAATATACATATATAAATATATAATATATGCCTAATTTAAATGGAACTATTTTCCACTCTTGACCATATTTTTGTTGTTTAATGTTTCTTTGTCAACATTATTTTATAAGCTCTTCAGATAGCATGCAGGATAGTGAAAATGAATGTATTATTTAGTGTTTCATTGCTGGTCAGTATTACAGCATTCTACAGATCAGTTTGTGTTTGTAGGATTAATTTAAGCTGAATATTTCATTTCTAGACTTTTGTTTATCTATAAATGACTTGTAAACTTTATTTTATAAATGCAAGGTTTCGAAACAGTTTCAACAGTTTATATCATTTTATTATTTCCCTGCTTATCAATGTGGTTCAGTATACTTTGCCTCTTCTAAGTACTGCTATCAACCATCTGTTGTAAATAATTATGCAAATTAAACTTTTTGAAGAAAACAGCATAGTTGTAAGAGTGCTTTGAGATCTCTCTATGTGTATCAGATGGAGAGGGTGCAGTTGTAGCACAGGTATGTGGCATTTTAGCTCAAAAATCCCACATGGGGTTGTTTATGAAGCAATACAATACAGTTTGCTGGCTAAATATCATGGAAATACGCATCATGCTCCCAGCTTAGTCGCACCTTTTTGGGGTATTGGAAGTTTTGAGCAGTACAGCACCTGCCTGTTCCTGTGCTGCCCAAGCAGTTCCACCTTTAGCTTAAATCATAAAACTTTTTTATCTAAGAAGTATAATGAAAGAGAAGGAACACAGCACTAAGTAATGTGGGTGGTGGATGTTGAAAAGTAAACATAAAGAATGTTTTTATACTAAATCCTCCTATGGTGCTCCAAGTTGACTTAATTCTGACATATTTTGTCTTTTGTTCATCCAGTGAAAAGTGATTTAAGCTCAAGTCATGAGTAAGTGGCTAAAAAAAAAAAAGCAAAGTTTAACGTGCCAAAAACTGCAGTTCCTCTACTGGCCATTTGCTGCTGGCTCTAAGAGCACATGAATTCCTATAGACCACACTATTTCTTTTTAGCACATGACAATGCTACAATATTTTTTGTAGATATAAACTACAGCTTACTATCAAAATAAATGATATAAAATTAAAGTGATAAGACCATAAATGCCACAAGTGAGTAATTTTAGCCCACTGGCTGCTATGGGCAACATGACAACATCATAATACCTTGTATAGCTATGAGGCTTCAGGAGCTCAAGCTCATCAATGATTAGTGTGCCGTCTCTGCTGGGGTACAGCATAAAATTTTAATCACTTGGAAAACAAACAAACAAAAGAACAAGAACTGGGTGCACAAACGAGTGGCAACTTGCTAAGAGACTTTGAACCAAATAATAGTGTGCTTATGTGCCGAGTTTGATCACGTAGCAAGAGTTTACGGACAGACAGACAACAGTTTTGTGTATTATGATAAGTTAACTCCATCCATTTGAGTTGACCATGTTGACCAACCTCCCAACAAGAAACTGGACCTCTTGACATTATTGTGGAACAAATAATACGGCCTGCTTTGTGGTCCAAGACGTTTGTGTGTCAGTTTTGATGAACAAAATTAAGTTATTTTATTAATCTTTCATAATTTTATTAGTCTGTTTCTTAGCACTAATTAGCGGGTATGTGTATGTTCAATTTTCTGCATACAATTTATACATGCAGCCTTCTAACAAAGCCCACTAACCACTCTGGTGGCAGCCAAAGTATGAATATCGAGGCTTCAAAAGCTGAAGTACAACAGGTGATGTCACAGTAGCCAAGTTTCTGTTTTATATTCAGGGAGAGTGTAGTCATCAAACAGGGCTAATCAAAATGGAAGGTGTGCAGGGGGACTATAAGCACTTAGGTACCTTACAGGTAATAAATGAAATGTCTACAGGTTGGTCTGAATGTATCAGAAGCTGATAATGGTTGAATAAATACAGCAACTCTCCAAACACGTCACTTTTAATTAAAGAAGTGGTCTTTATTACAGCAAATAAGCCAAACATTACAGACAAGAATAATTATGAACCATGAATATCAACTCTATAGTCAGACTGGCCTCTCATCCAGACACCAGCTTCAGGGCCATTATTTCAGATTTAAAGAGGAGGAGTCATTGGCCTCTTAAGAAGATTTGTTTCTTAGTTTTCCTTTAAGTGTGTAGTTAAGAGGCTTTACATATTGTGTTCACTTTCTGCTCTCACTGATTTATGCATGTAGCAAAATCCATTGTCGCTAAACATAAAATATGACTGGATTACTATTACACCATGCTCTTCTCTCTCCCTTCTTTGGATCAGACCAAAAATCAGAAGTAACAAAACTGAAGGCTGATGTTCCACCAACAGAATAATGTTCTGTATTCAGTGAAATCTTATATCTACATCTTTATCTTTTTAAAACACCATCTGTCAATACTTGAATTTGAATCCTCCAAAACAAGAGTACAATCTGTATCTTTTTTATCTACACCAGAACAAATGTTCTGACATTGCATCCATTATCTAAATCTCCACTGTTCACCCAACAATAGAGCCTTTTAGAGCACTCTATTTACAATAACATCCTCATGAGTAGGGCTGCTCTTGCTCCATCAAAGTGGAACATCTGACATGTTATTTACAATAAAGTTCTTTTTTTCTGACTCAGTTTGTTCACAAACAGAAATACATCTGATATTCTGTAAGCTTGTAAAGCCTCACAAAGAAGCATTCTGATGAGTAAAAACACAATGAATCATGGTCCAAAAGGTATTCGGGACACTGTTCGTTCATGAGAACGCATTCAACAAAGCCCTGGGTGCGATCTAAGATGCTGTAAAAATGCTTGTAGCGACAAGAAAATTCAAATGATTAGGCACAATAAATTTTTTTGTATCACAGTCCTGCGTGTTTCACTCACTAAGCCCGTTTATGCATCACTGAGTCAGTGTGTATCCCGGGATAATGGTGAGCAGGATACGAGGATGAAGATAAACAGCTTATCCCGACTAAGACGTTAAGAGGGATAGGCGCTATTATCCAAAATACTCTTTGCATATAAATGCACTGAATTTCTACTGACCACAGACAGCGCAATGGGCTCATACACAAATAAACCACAGTAACATCACAGAGATTCAAGAAGTGAAAACAAAGACAATACTATTGAATTCCACCTAAATACTGAAAAACTACTTCTAAAGCTTTAATATACAGCTTCAATCAGGGGTTCTTAAACTCTTCTTCATGGACCCAAATTGGGCAGATGTAATCTGTTACCATTAGGGGCCTCGATAAATCACACTAATACTCTCAAGACTCCAGAGGAAACAGACTTGCAGCCCATTTTGCGTCCCCGTGTGCGGTTTAAGAAACGCTGGTGGGCGAACATGGAATGGAAAATGATTGTTCTTACAAGCAATGCAAGTAAACAAACAATAAATACAAACAATGTGCTTTATCCGTATAGACATATTTACACAAAGTCTTTGGCTTATGAAGAAACATCAGCTACAAAATAATAATATTACAACAAAGAGAAGAGTGTTGGCCACCAGTGCACAAAACAAATGAAGCCTGGGGTCAGGTCACTTCCAATTCTATTCAAGCCATACTGTCAATGGAAACTGTCAGTTAATCTTGCCATCAAAGAATGTGTGATTTCAGTCTTTTCTATGGGCAAATAGGCAGATTTTTTGCCATGTCCAAAATCTCTTTATAATTGCAGTTTGTTTGTTTGTTTTTCCATTTATGTACAGGCTGAATTGAAAGTGCATTGGGCCCAGCCCTGAAAAGAACATGATTCCGCTAATGTCACAGTCTAATGTACAATGCAGACTGCAAAAGTCTAACCAGTAGGTAGGTACATGATACTACAAAAGAAAAGTGATACATAACACACGTTTTAAAACAAAAAGCATAACATAATGTTTGTCAAGTTGCAGCTAAATGAATATTATTTAAAAAAATCTAAAAGTCTAATAATCCCGATGTAAACTTCCTGTTTTTCTTTTGTTTCCTGGTCCTGGTTTTCTTTTGTTTCAAGACTGTGAAACAAGCCTTTCACAGTCTTGTTTTTACTTTATTTAATAAGGACAAAATTATTATTCTTTTTTTCTGTTTTCCAAAAATAATAAACTGCGTGTAACCAATGTTAATAGGTTCATACTTGTTCATAACAATGTACTGACTCAATGTTCGCTAAAGTCATTTGAAAGGTGTGCGGAGCAGAAACAGAACCATTCACAGAGTTTCTCCGGACGTTAAATTTCAGTTGTTCACTTGCTCTCATACAAAAGTGTTGGCTGTATATACTACAAATATCACCATGATGAGACGCCCAATACAGTTAAATTAGTCAGAAATTAGCACGAGAGCAGGAATGTCGGGCCACTGAAAACTTTAACTTGCAGTTTATCAAAAGCTGCTTGCAAGGGAGCGAGCAAGCGAGAGAGAGAGAGACATCTACAGTAGATAGGAAGTACTGCAGCTGAAACAGCACAAAGCATCAAGTCCATGGGAGGTGGCTGTGGTGAGAGGCTAAACGTTTTAAATGGGGCCCGAAGCATACAGGGGCCCGCTGGCACTCAAAAAGCTGTACAATAAGCAGAAAGGAGTGAAAGGAGTAACATCTCCTCCTCCCCATCGCATTTCCTGTTAAAAGTCTAAGCATTTCCCTTTGTTTAACAACCTGTACAAGGAGCCCGTTTCGCTTGCGCCTTTTGTAGAGATGCAAGATGGATGCTACACAACGGCCGCCACAAAGATCGAGACCAAGCAAAGCAAAGGATCAAACACACAAGATGTGAACAGATGTTCTCCGACTCTTCTTCTCCTCATTCTGCTCTTCTGTCCTTCACTTAGGACGACTCAATGAACTCCAATGCCAGGTCGTAGCAGAACCGATACTGTTCCTGCAAACAGACACATACACACACATACACCCTTAACTAAACATATGCACTATCACACATTCACTGTTTGACTAAAGTTTGTATTATTATGTGTATAATAGTAATAACAACATAATGCACTCATGAGCTCTTTCTCACTTTGCAGAAAGTGTTTATGGTTAACTCACCGGAGTATCCACCATGTTAGGTTTGCTATTCCTCAAGGTCTTTACAGCGTGGAAAACATCAACCACACTCTGTCTCTTTGCCATCTCGCACACGATACTGCTGGCACAGAACACTCCACTACGCCCACCTCCATTTCTACAAACAAACATAACAGAATACACGATGATACGTCGCAAAAAGCACAATTTAATATTTCATTTGGGGTTTTTCCAACTCTTGTGCAGGGCTGATGCTTTTAATTTCAATGGTAAAAGAAGAGAAACTCTTTGATTTGTGTGCACTCACAGGCAGTGCACAATGGTTCTTCCCTCTCCCTCCTCCCCTTCACGCTGCCACTGGTCAACCTGAAGGATCAGTTTGAGGAAAGAGCGTTTGGACGCGGGGACTTCTCTGTGCCCCGACCATCCCAGGTACTGGAAATGACGAACCATCAAATAGCCTTCCTGAGGCTGGAATAAGAGACAGAATCAGAAAAACTGATTAAGCCATGTCAAAAACTGCAGATCCTCAAATGGCCGCTTGAGGCTAGCGCCAAAAACGAGTCAATCCTGATAGGCACCAATGTTGAAATGTCAGGCCAAACTATTAGAGGAGTTTTAAAACCTTTGGCTCAGTGTCAGACCCACAGGTGATGATATCACATGCTCACATCCATCTTTTACACTGTAAATAGGTATATATTTTTCCAGCTAATGTTCCCAGTATGTATTTTTTCAGGTAATTGGTTATATGAATTTTAATGACTATAGTGCGTTTTAACATGCTGTATTTTTGTATGGCTATTTAAAACAAGTCGCCTTGAAAATGACACCTTGTATGAGATTGATTCAATGAGATTTACCTGTATAAATAAAGGTGAAATAAAACAATAAATAAATAATAATAATAGAAACGTAGTATGATTCTGACTGCCCACCCTGGTGAGGTTGCAGACTCTGAAGAGCCGGCTGATAACATCACATTCCATTGAGCAGGACATACATTCCACCTGGACGGGACCGTAACGCAGCATGCCCTCCTCTGGCCAGTACTGAGGACAACCCTGAGAGAGAACAATTACACCATTTAGAAAAACACTGGAACAATTTCAGAAAAAATAGAGACAAATGCAAAAAAACCCAAAAAAAAAAATCCCTGACAATTTTTTGTCCAGACAAAAAATTCTTAAAATGAAATGTGCTTACAAATTTTGGTTAAGAATGTTGGATGTGTGCAGGATTGTTTTCTTCCATCTTTCCTTTACAAGTTTATTAGCTCTAAATAAGCTAATCTTATATAATAAATCCATGATTACTGTAAAAAAGACACAATGCTATGCTAAGAAACACAGCAGAACTTTATGTAAAATACCTGAGCCAGGTCAATCTCATTTAGCATCACCAGACTGGTACATCCATAGTCGTAAACTAGGCGCCAAAAGTCTTTGACAGTGTTGGGCAAAGGATGCTGGGTAACGATGAATGCAGCAGGCTGTCTGTAGCTCTAAAGAGAAGGAGAGAGACAACAAAAGCGATCACCGACAAAGAAGACACTCTTAATGATTCAATCAAGCATTATTAAACTGTGCGTTATTGTTTTTTATTTTTTAATTTTGACTGTCCCACAGTACGTTTCTTTCTCACGTGTGCACATTAAAACACAAACAGCAGAGTAGAGCTGCACAGTATGTGAGACATGGGAAAGCAAGCATAGTTAAAAGGTGACTTTGGTTTGATGATCATGCAGTGGGTCTATTAACTGTGAGGGTTGGGAACATGCACAAGACTACACATAGAGCAAAAACTACATTTGATGGGGTCAGTTAACTTTTTTTTCAGTTAGCTCAGGAAGACAAACTTCTTCAAAGTTCACATAAAAAAAGAATCAAGAACTAACTGGTCTGAATGTGAACTGAACCCACTTTGGCTTAAATGAAAATGTACAGCCAAATGTGTGACGCAGGTGTGACCGCTTGGCGACAGAGAATCTAATGTGAGGGCCGGGCACGGGTTTAGGATTTAGGGTGTGGATGTCGTTCACAAAAATGAATCTGGTGGCAGAACAACACTGAAGCCATGAAACAAATCCAGTATTGGAGACTTGAAGTAAAATCCCATTACCTGGAACTCTTCTGACAGCTTGGTTAGAGAGAGGCCAGAGGTGAGTAACTAAACTTTAAGGTAAACGCCTAAAACTTGACTGAACTCTAGAAATTTTACAGTATTTTGTCCAACAGCTTTGCTGGAGAGAAGCCAGGTTTGTTCCCACAACATGCAAATGTTCACACATTATCAGGAAATTACTCACATACCTACAGCCCACCTCTTACTATCTTTTTCTCACTATATCTTTACTCACAAACCTGATAATAACCTTCTAATCACCTTACCTTAAAACCTTACCTCAAAATTTCTACCTACTCAATGACTTTCTTTTCAAGTCACGGTAAATGGGCAACGCGTTGAGGCAATGTCAACAGTTGCAAACATAAACAACGTTTGAATGGTGGCCAGAGAAAAGCTAGTCGTCTTTTTAGAGGCTGGATTTGTCTCTAGCCTTCTGCTGCTAAAACCACAAACACAGCATCACACAAAGAAGGAAGGGAGTTTGTGTGTGTGTGTGTGTGTGTGTGTGTGTATGTTTTATGTTAGTAAGTTTAAGTGTTGTGTGATATTTTTATCTTCATCATCATTTCAATGTACCTTCATAAAAGTCTGTATCATTTTCAACAAAAATGTGACCGCAGTTTGGGACACCGAGTGTTAAATCTAGTCTAGTCTTTATATAATTGGCATTAAATATACAGAAATTGTGGTAAGAGTAACACATCAGCTGGTTCTGCTGAAAGTCTTTTTGCACATGTACACACAGTGTGAAATGTCCCAAACTACTCTTGCTTGATGTGTTGAAAATAACACAATCTTCCAGTGTGTTCCAGTAACACATTATTGACTTACATCCATCAGAGCAGCATTGATGTAGTTGCTGCTTTCTCCATCTATTGTGATGAGGAAGGGAAGGCATCTATCTGGAGGAAGGCCATCCATAAAGCGGTTCTTATCTTGGTTTCTAGGCAACAACGCAATGCTGCAGTCTTCTGGCTGTGGCTGAGGAGTCACTGAGTTTAATGTCTGGACAGAGAGAGAAATGTATGATGTACGTTAATTAAAAGTGTCAAAAGATTCAAAGAAGGGCTCCATGAAGATAGAAATAGACCCAAAAGCCAAGCTGGTGGGAAAGAAAAACTTGTGTGCATTAAAAATATTTGGTTTCTGGAAGTCACAAGTCACAAGGTTCAGCACTGCAGAGAAAGAATTTGATGAGTTTGAGTATCCAGAAACTCCACATAATTATATTTTTTGTGTGTTAAAACCCATTCTTTACATCCAGGAGTAGCAGATGACAACAGCAAGTGGTTCCTCTTGATGTAATAATACACAGCAAATGTCTTAATGCCCATATTGTAAAAAGAATTACACAGCAGAACGGGTTAGAGGAGATTTCATTTTAGGACATGAAGTAGGAATTGTTAAAGTTTTGATTACTGAGTTCCATTTAATATTTCAGTACTAGTTTGTGGGTTTTATTAGTATGTTTTCTAACCATTAGTGAGGTGACCTTTCTTGACAGCAGCTATAATTGTCAGTGTTAGGAAGATTTAGTCTGCTGCGATGCCAGGAACAGAACAGAACAATTGTAAATGAAGAGCGCTCTCAGACTCTGAAGACTCTGAAGAGCCCTCTGTGCTGCTTTACCACTGGCCTACACGCTCCACTTTGAAAGCTCTGGGCGCAAAGTAACAGATTACAGTTTGATTTTACCTGGAACTCATCCTTCAGATGGGAAGAGTTGGTCTGGGAGTCGATGCGGATCAGCTCATAATAAGCTGCTTTGAACTCGCAGACCGGTATGGCTGTTTCTCCACAAAGACAAGCCTCTAGTATGGCGTCGTGAATGAATATGTACTGCTCCTGAAGACATATATTATAATACACATATTATCACATATTCTGCACATTCATATTTCAACATTAGAAAAATAAGAAATACAGCTTTGTATAAGACAAACAAGTGATGCACACACTGTGAGTGAGTGAAGACTGATGAGAGGTGGAGGGATGGATGACGTGATGACTGTTGGTTAGGTGTATTTCACCTGTGAGTCAGTCCATACTGGCAGTTGTGCTTTTAGATCTTTCAAACAAGTGACGCCAACTTCAATTCAATGATGAGACACAGACTGACCTGCTTTGGTGAACGGCTGTGAATGTACTTTGTTACAATGGGTCTTATAAGCTGTTAAATTGTTACTCTGTTACCGGCCAATAGTGCAGAATACTTAAGTTGGACATGAAATGTGTCCATGAAAGATTGCATCGACCTGCATTCTGTGAGTCACCAGCCTTCAAGTATGACAAAGACTTTAATAAACTTTTAAAAGTTTGCTTTATGCTCTGACCTACAGGCTGTTCTGAACCATGAAGCTTGAAATTACTTTTGCCCCATTGTTACTGCACTGCTTGATAGTTTATATATATGATCTGAATTACTATTTGTGGTCTTTTTAATAGGAAAAACATTACAAAAATATTAATTTAAAGAATAATAACCACTACAGTCAAAGAAGGATCCTCTTTGTTTGGATGCATATACATATATATTATCTATATTCTGTTTAGCACCAACTCATTTATGCTTCTATTATTCTGCAATTATTATTCTATGTATTAAAAAATGTTTAACAACCACAAATTCAGGCAAATCGGATACACCCATGCAGTGACAGATGAATGTGCTTCCTCAGAGAACAGTTCAACGTGATAGTGATTTTTTTTTTACTAACACAAGAGGGCTCCAGAGTAAGCTTTAAATATGAAAATTATGTATGACTTTTACTTATTGTCAGTGTTACATTCACAGAAGTGAAAGCTGACGAATTGAACTTAATGAGGTGATATTTTCATGCATGCATGGAAAATAGGTAACTACATAAAACCTTGTCACCTCAGCCCGTACCATGCTGATGGCTGAGTTTGAAGTCAAGCTTTCCCTACGTCTATATTAAAAATGTGGATGCAGATGGAGGATGGGTAATGCAGTCACCTCAGTCTGTACCATGTTGATCCTCCTGGAGCGAAGAGCCTTCACACAGTTGTAGATGTCGACCACTCCTTCTCTCTCTGCCATGTCCAACATGATGTCAATGACTATGAAACATCCTGTGCGCCCTGCTCCAGCACTGCAGACAGAAAGTGAAGCACACAAATTTTAACTTTATAGATCTTTCTCTATGTCCGTCATTGGGAGAGAAAACATTTTGTTTTGACTATGCATGTTTATTTTCTAATAATTCATTTTTATACCTGCAGTGGACCACAATTGGCCCAGCAGAAGGTGGATTAGACATTTTAACTCTGCGGATGAAGGAAAGAAGTCCTGTGGCATGATATGGAACTCCATGATCAGGCCAGCCTGTGAAGTGGAACTGCTTGACTTCGCGGACCTCATTGAAGCCACGCTGAGTAAAGACAAAAAAAACATCTTTAAGTAAAATTTCATGAAATGTGTTTATTCTATAAACACCCTTTCTAGATATGTCTCAAACTTATTAACTGGTTTTGTTGAAGCTACAAGGAGGACGATAAACAAAACCAAACAAGTTTGTGTCAACCAAACTACAGCTAGAGGTGCAGCTACACCTCTACCTGAGTTTTTTGCATAAATTACATCAAAGCAAAATGCAAAATGAATACAAAATATTAATTTTTGCTAGATTATAACAAGTTTTACTCACCCTCTCCAGTGTAAATGTGCGAACCACATATTCAGCGAGTGGTTCAACCTCCACAAAAGTCACCTTGAAGTCTCCATACACCTCAGCATCATCTGGCCAGTATTTATAGCACTTAACCTAGAAAGAAAAAAAGCCATGAAAAAATTAAGACAAGCTTGAATCAAGGAGCAAATATAGCTTTTTTTGCATAATGATATTTAATATGATGCCAATATGAAAAACGCCACTTTTAAACCAAATATGTTATACATAATTTAGAGAGTATATTTTACAGGATTGTTGACAGAGACATCACACTAACATTCTTGCAATTTTCCTACCTAACTGTAAATATACAGGTATTTGCAATAGCACTGCAGTGGACATTGCTGAATTTAAAAAAAAAAAAGAGATTTGGATAGTTTTGACTAAGTAATAGTAATTTTAATAAAGTTACCAACTGAAATTAACTGAGTATAGAAAAACGAGCAACTTACCCTTCCAACCTCCACCAGATTGGTTACCATCACAATACAGGCTGACTGTTCCTGCCAAACCATCCTCCAGAAGTCATACACTGTCTCATGAACAGGACCTACGCATAGATGCAGAGTATACTTTCACTTTATTCTGCTGTAAGTACGGTTACAATTTGTGATTAAATAGTTGCTATGCTATAAAACAGCAGTAATGCAGAATTCCTGCATGTAATTGAGTGTGGTGCAGCATCTTACCCTGTGTAGCAATGTAGTGACTTGGTCTTTGGTACCCCTGCAAACAGAACACCACAGTCCTTAATATGAGCTGAAAACATAATCGTGTCAAATTCTAAAACCTTTTATCACAGCTGGAAATGATAACTTTCTACACTAAACGACCTTACTACCTCACTTTCATCTACAACAGGAGAAAACTTCTGACAGACTGATGAAATTCGTTTTTAGCTGACTCCATACTTGAGTTGCACTGCATACTGTTGAATTCATGTTAAAATGTGCAAAGTTGGTCATCTCATCATTTTTCCTTTCCACTTAAAAACTACTACTTGACATCTACAACAACTGCCAGGTGTGCCGTGGGCTATGACAACCACTTATTAAGTTGTCATTAAAGCAATTAAGACACAAGTGGTGAATATGCATATGCAAATTGACACCAAACAGTGAGATGCAAAGACGGTGGTTGGTGGCCAAGATGAAGTGCGATCAGTCATGCAAAGGATGCCCCAGCATCTCAAAATGGATACACATCATGTCTTGATGCATAAGGACTGGTTCATGGATGTACAGGTGAGCAGGTGTAATTGTTCAGGGGCATTTATGAACAAGACCACAGTGATACTTACATCCCTATACAGCCAAATCTACAGCCCAAGCCACAGGCAGAAAGAACGAGTGGAAGAAAGAAAGAAAGAAAGCACAACAATGTCAGTGAGTGTCAATCAGAAAAAAGAAAAGCTGCATTGACATAATGGAAGTTTGATCAGGACATGCAGAAAAAAAATGTGATCTAAAACTCCAAATTAGACTAAATAGAGAGGACACTCCCTAATGGAATTTGACCATCTTCCATGGAGAGCACAATAGAACCAAAAAGACTCAGAAAGCTGGCATATCACAATCTCATTTAACCACCATCACATACTGATGTTCCAGCTTTCTCCGTCTTTTGGGTGCAGTTCAAATTGTGTGACAGCTGCCTTTGTTATGCCAACAAAGATTAGGGAGTGCCCACTCTATTCATTCTAATTCTAGCTTAATGTGAGTGGTAGAATGCATGCAAGAGTTTTAATGACAGTAAATTATAATACAGTGGAGCTTATGATAAGCATACTAGCATTAAAAAAGCACAATGTGAGTCGTAGTGACTGGTGTGCAGATGATTGTTGAGAGATGACAGAAAATGGATGAACTGATGAAGACTGTGTCGTGGGTGAATGCAGAAACAATAGGCAAGTAATAGATGAAGCAAAAGATGGAAAATTAATTGTATATAGATGTATAAGGCAGCTGACTAGGTTTGTCGAACAGTTAAAAGTGACTCAAGTCAAGAAAAATGCTAGAAATTAAGCTACCCTTAGAATCTGATTAGCTTAGCTTAGCTTAAAAAACTACTCAAATGCACAAAACTGCTGGGTCCATCCAACAGTAACAAAACCTGCTGACCATCACCTCTAAAGCTCACTAACTAGCACTGTCAGTTCTTAAAGTCACTCCTTTAAATGGATTTCTTTCTGGTCTCCTGGAAAACGAGTTTGCTAAATCCAAATGATGACTTAAAATCCGTTATGTTGTACATATAAATCAGATAACTTATTCAGTTCTGGACGGACAGGTGAATTGATGGGGAAACTTGAAAGAAAGACAACAAGACCGACACCTGAGACAGACACATGTACTGCATGTATGATGTGTTTTCTGCATGGCTGGATGCATAAAATGGTATGATGAATGACTGGTAGACGCAATCAAGGTATAGAGGCCTGACATACGAGCGAGGGAGTGTGGTTTCGTTGGTTTCGTTGGGAGCCAATAGTAGCATTCGATGCGTTTCCACTTACATCGATGTAGTTGGCGTTGATGTAGTCGGAGGACGGGTCGTCTTCTATGGGCTGCAGAATAACCCTTGAATGGTCATCTAAGAAAACAGTGTGTGAGAGAGCAGCAGAAACAGACAGGTAAGAAAGGTGATTTGCTGTTAAAGAATTTTTATTTCAAGGTTTTCATGGTTTGCTGTTTTTCTGAATTTCGTGTTTTGGCTTTCTATTTTTTTATTCAGTGTGTAGTTGGGATTTAATAAAATAATTTAACAAGGTGTTCGGTTCGGACGGAGTCACACAGACTAGTCTAGAGACAACTTGGCAAAAATCTGTATTTCCCAATCGGATGGTGAGTCAGAGGTTGTTTTTAGTCGGTAGGTTTACAGTTCTGTATCAAAACCTTGCGATTTCTTTGGTTGCTAGCAGATTGCTACACAGTAATCCGTACTTTGCAAGAAAACACTTGTCTGCCAATCCTCGCTAACTACTCACTGAATGGAAGTGAAACTGTGAAGGAAGGTGGAAGAGTTTTGGTGCAGCAACCTCTTTGTATTGCTTTATTCATTATTTTACATGATAATACAAACAACAGATTATATGTAACGTTCTATATACAAATAAATCATGCCAATAAAATTACAACAGCTGTCAATAAGCATGGTTATGTATGTATGCAAGTAAGTAGCATGAGACCCTTTTGTGACTCAATTTTTCTGAGTCTGGGGACTCAAGGAACACAAGGAAAACTCTTAGAGTCAAGGCAGAGGCTGAAGAGGTGATTGAGCTTTTGAAGATGTTGCTCATTGATTCTTTTGTTGTTGCTTACAAAGGTGGTTTTTCTTTGGTCCTGTCTTGATTTTAAACCTTTAATTCTGCAGGCTGTACACTTACTTCTGCTCCCAATTTCTTCTTCTCTTCTTCCTGTAAAGCTCTATGATTTAAAATGCAGTAACGCAGATGTCTTGCTTACATGCTATGATATTCCCGTAGCGGTTTTTGGTACGATTCTGCTCCTTCTTGGCCACGTCCCAGGAGGCCGACTGGCCCTCAAAGAAGCTCTGTATCACCAACAACACACGAAGTAATAAAAATACAATTAGATGTCATGGATCCTTAAAAATAACACTTCTGTACTATTGCATATATCTGAGAGGAAAGTGGTACTTAGGTGCTTTTCGACTTTTGTTCGACTGGTTTGATTCAACTAGCAAATTCTTATTAGACATTAAAATAAAAGGACCATAAAAATGGCTTGTGTCTCATTGATTGTTCAGTCGATGGAGCAGAAGGTACCCTCAAATTAAGAGGCAATTTAGACCTGGTAGCCATTTTTTCATTTTAATGTGAGGCCAAAACATTAAATAGAGCAGTATTGATTTTAGAAATAATACTTCTGTGTCAGCCTCCACATTAAAATACATCATTTCCTGCTACTAATAATACTTTTGCCTCTTCTGTAATTAATATTACAAGCTCTAGTGTCAACAGTACAGATAATAATCTTACTTCATATTCCTCCTTGAAGCCATAGCTGTCAGATGTTTTCATTAGGTTGATGTGCTGCAGGAGATCGGCCACTCTGATGGCTGGGTGGAGCTGTCCTGTCTGATAAGGAGACTCAGTTCCTTCACAGTGATACCGAGGAACATCTAGAAGCCTGCTGTTCTCGGCTGCAGAGCCAGTGTGGTTCTCATCTACAACAGGAGACAAAATAAGGTACGGTTAATTGATAATTCGCAAAATATCTTCCCTTCATTTTATTTTATCTTCATTAATATTTTATTTTATGACCCCTATAATGGGTAACATAGATACCAAAACATGTAAACTCTTATTTGTACCTTGAAACTGCACGTGTGGAAAGATACTTGTACTGATCTATACAAACGCAACAAGCTTTCCCAATCTTCCCAAATCTGTACCAGTTTCTACCTTACAAAAAGAAAACAGTGCATTTCCTCAAACCAAACCAAACATTTGCCACTTTGTTTTCTCAGTTTATACTCACCTGTGATTGGAACTACATGTCAAAGCAGCAGGAAAAGAAAAGAGCAAAAAGGGCTAGTCAGACTGCAGGATAAATGGATTTGTTAGCGAGACTAAAGGTTAGTTTAACAGTTTGGATTTGTTTATAAGGACTTTCCACGATGGATGAAATGGATACAGAGAATTTGTAGATGATGTCGTACAAAAAGGACCAAAAATTGCCACAAGATGCAGAAACTGAAAAACATGAGGAATATCTTAAAATGAATTGTGAGGTGGATGTTCACTGCAATGTCATTTAGTTCACAATAAACAACCACGTTCACAGCAGATTAAAACATTTGTTGCATTCTGCTGTTCTAAACCTTTCAAACACACTGCAAATATATTTAAAGAAGTAAAACATCTGTTTTTTAAATGTGGAATAAAATAACTAACTCAATCCCCAATAAGCAATCAAGAGCTATAGGAGTGCTTCCCAAAACTGTCTCTGTGGTGTAGTAGTTAACACCTTACATGCAAAAGATCCCTGGTTTGAGACTGGGAGGCAAGACAGACCCAGCCACGGAGGGTCACAAGCCTCCATAAGTAGGAAGGATGCCAAATAAAACAAGTGGATCCATCTGCTGTAGTGGGCAAAAGGGAGCAGCTGAAAATACACGTAAGTGATTCCCAAAGTGTGTTTTTCTGCCCACTTTGTGCACGTCAAGATGTGGGCCATATATGGTGAGAGGTTAAATTGAACTAATATTATAAGCCCGTGTGAGTTATTTATTTGTTTTTATTTATTGTTATTGTTTTTATTTGTTTATATGGCCTGTTTTTAATCAGGAATGTCCCCTTTATCTCATCAGTGGTGGAGAAAAGGTTCAAATGGAGCAGTGACCAGCAGGTGGCAAAGCAAAGCTTTTAAGCTTGTACACTACAACCAAATCACTAGGTCGATATCACATCTTTGTAATGAGAAAAGAGGAAATGTTGTAAACTGATGAGAGTTTTTATAGAAGGTTTAGATTAACATCAAAGATTTTCACACTGGGCTTTTTATACTCCAGGAATGGTTGTGGTATATTGCAGAAATTTAGAGGTATAATTTACATGTGTGAGTACCGCCCCTCTGATTTAATTTTATTTGGATTTTGAAACTTGTACATTTTAGGAGGTAGTTCATTTGGAGGTTATAACTGGGGTTAAACAGTTGCAGAACTTCAAAGTGCGCTGTGGTTAAAATGTGACTTGACAGTTGTAATGTACAGACTGACAGGTTAAATAATGCAGTAGCTCAGGGTTGGAGCAGAAGCGGCTGATTTCATCTTCACCGCTGTTTATTAACTGACACTGTTTATTTCATCCAACGGATGCTTTTGTCTGCTCTGAGGACATGTTAGCTCATTACTGATTGTTAAAGGTTTGTTAAGCCCTCGTCACGGCAATTAACAGTAAACTTGACCCGACACCGCCTCTTAATTTGTTACTTCCTGCTAGTTCTTCTTCCTCTGTGAAGTGATTGGCCAAGACAGATTGTAACTGCAGCCTTCACTCCAAATTAGAGGCTATGGAACAGTTAATTAACACAGTTTGGTGGCACTGTGGTTTGTGAACCCCTTAAGGGTATTTCAGAACTCCACATCATGCTGCAGTGTCAACACTAGACTCAACTACAGATAAACACATTGCACTGCAACATTGAAGCTAGAGAAACATCCAACTAGCCAAAAGCTACATATTTCACGATTCAGACACTCAGAGCAGGGTTTCAGCACAAAACAAGTCCAGGGAATAACACAGATGGTAGATACTCAAGTAGACTTCTAGATCCATTGCACAGAAAAACTTCTGCCAGAGAGACAAGGCTGCAGGCACTAAGTTGTTCAGTGTTGTCACAGATTTAATCAACAGTCATTTTGCTGTGGCAACATGACAAATTGTCTTCCTCCTTTTAAGCCTTCTTTTCTGTCATTTTTGGGAGACAAAATGGCACGGCTTAAAACAACTCAAAACTGTGGAAATAATGAGGTCTCTAAGGGAGAATGATGGCAATTACTGTGAATATCAATAACTCGCAGCAGGAAACAGAAACCATGGCTGGAATCGGGAATGACTGAACCAAAGGGAAAACGCAGGATGACAGATGAAGTGCTTAGCTGTTGGAGGTTTTTTTTACACCAGACATGTTCTACACAGAGAGTTGGCAGAAAAATATAAAAGATGAACATAAAGCTTTGCCAACTTCACATATTCTAATCTGTTATACCTCTTTAAATTTTCCTTGATTTGTTTTTGGTCTTTTTTTTTTTTCGTCTTTTGAGTATTAAAAACCTAATGCTCCAGAAACATCCAAGAAAGCCATACTTTTGTCAAAGGTCACTATAACATACGTTTGACTATATCCAACAGCTCTAACTATAGACTTCAGTTATGGACACAAAACAGACGGGATAATACGTGCTAGGGTTACAAGCGCAGGGTCTATTTGATGATGGTAGGTGATCACTAGAGGTGATACATGTGACATATCCAACACTAGAAGTCTCACCTAACACAGCAGTGGGAACCAGAGGATCGTTGGGCACTGCAGGAGGAAACACGGCCAGGAAACATATTAAAATTTCAGATTTACTAAAGCATAGATGAGGACAACTGAGACAAATCACAAATTCTGGCAAGACCTTACTATTTTCATCTTTTTTTTTTCTCATCGCTGTCATGTATGAGTTCTACATTTATGCTGTCCTGTTTTCACTGTGAGCTGTTGTGAATTGACTTATAGACAGAACCTTAACTAGCAATGATTTAGATATGACTTTGGTCCATCATTTAAGTCTTTTTCCAGGCAAAACAAAATGCAGGTTAGATCCTTGTTTGGCAAACAAATGACTAATTATTTTTCTGCTTATTGTTATAAAAGTGACAATTGAATAAAAAATACTTGATTGCTAAAATATTAACTAATTGGATTAATAATTGTTTGTTGCAGCTTCTGAACAGGAGCTTGGCTGTTGATAAAAATAACCCTGATCTTTGCAAAGATTCATCTCTAATTAGTGTGGACAGAAGATGGATAGGAAAACAGAATGTAAGAGCCATTTAATTAAGGGTTTTTTTGCTTGTAAAACCTTGATTTTATGAACCTACATCTGTTGTTGTAGTTGTGAGAGTCCATAAATGTCACAGCCATGGGGTCCTCGCCATGCAGAGTGCTCTGGTCAGCATAGCTGCGGTCCATAGCGTTCACCATGTGTGTCATTTCCTGCCGTGTTGTTCCAATGGCATCTTTACGTTTTTTTGCCAGTTTCCTGTTAGAGGGAGATAGACAGACAGTCAGGAATTGTGAAAAACAAATACACAAACATGAGGAAGCCTGAAGCCACAGCAAGAACGAGAGAATCTAGCAGCTGGATCACTTTTCGGCTGGGGCTGCTGACTCAAGATGCAGAGTTTGAAACCAACAATAAGGAAATGGGAGAAGAGAAGAAAGGCAGGGAGAAAAAAAAGAGAAGAAGGAAAGAGAAGAGAACAAGCAAGGAAGGTAGAGGAGAGGCTTTTTTGTATATGGCAGCATTTAACAGGCTCAGCAAAAGGAGCAAAGGGAAAATACTGCAGCATCTAATTCAAACCAAGGAAGATCTTTTTTTGTAGCTTACAGCTGTCAGATGAAAGCCTCTAAACTTTACCGTTCCCTCCATTTTTACTTGTATGAACCTATTTTACTAGGACTATAATAATAGAAACTAATTACATATTTTTTCAAATTGTATGAATTCTTTGGTTTTCATCTGACAGCAAAGTTCAGGTGAATCCCACTAAAACAGAAGCAAGGATTGAGCTAGAATGCACAGAACCCTTAAGGAAAACCATTTACCAACCAACAGTTATCACCATGTAAATAGTAGAACTTGAACTAGTCGTGTCACAAATAGTCAGTTATGAAGGGTGGGACACTGATTTTCAATCTCTTATGCAGCTTTACCAGCTGCTGTAAATTTTAGAATTAAAATGTGTTGCTTTCACAATTTGAAAAACAAACAAACAATCAGAGTAATGAGAAATTACTTTTTATCATCAGTCTGGTACCTGATTAAATAGATATCAAGATCAAATCATTTTCATATTTAATCTTTCGGTGTTTTCAACATACAAAGTTGCAGGGAAACACTTTTAAGGACTTATTATGTCGAGCATGACACATCATGCAGGAACATTATGTACCCAGAGCCGTAGATGCACATCAGTTAAGACAACAGCTCTTAGTTATTAAATTTCTGTGCGGTATACAAGAAAATCTCTACAGCTGAAACACAGAGAGCCTGTAGGCAGAGGCGATAACATCGTGTGCATTTTATTAGCTACCAATCAGTTTTTGATTGCTGTCAAACTGATGCAATGTACAGCTCTGACTGATAGAAAGCATGCTGTTTATTGTGCATATTTTACCTCTTGACCCCAACTTACACCATCTCCACCTCTGAGATCACACACACACACTCAGTAGAAACATAGATTGAACTATTGACCAAATGTATCTACTTGTGTGTGTGTGTTTGTCATAGAATTACAATATTTGCAAACTATATAAACCACCACATGCTGAGTACTTTCTCAATATGTTGTATATATAAGAAGAAAGGAGAGTGAGAAAGAAAAAGAAAGGTGAAGCTGAGACCGGACCTAGAATGGATCTACTTTTTCTGTTTAACATTTAACGTCATTATTTTCTGATATTCACACTTGAACTGCGAATTAATTTGAAGTTCTGTATGAATTCATAAAAATGCATGAATGTCTAATGAACACGCCTAATTACTAAAATTGCAAATGAATTCCAAGACACCAGGCAGAATGTCTTCACTGATGAGGAACACGTCCAACTTCTTAAGGTGCACTGGAATAAATGGATGGCTTAGACTAGCTATGTTAGGAAAAAAGGAGACACTGTAGAACCAAAATTTTGTTCCTGATAATGTGTTTTAATAGATGTAATATTAGAAAACTGCTACTTAATGGTAAACAGTAAAAAGCAGTGGTTGTAGCAAGTTCAAAAAAATCAGCAAAGCAGTCATCCTAGTTTAGAAAGAAATGTTTCATTAAACTACTCCACGGGAACGTTAAGGTACAGTCCTGCATTGATACTCAGCACATCTTGATTTTTAGTCTGGTGATTGTGAATAAAAAGAAGCAATGAGAGTGAATTAAAATATCTGAGGCAGTACAAATAATTGATTCATGATCCATCTTGGTCAGAGCCCATAATGGCCTGGGTAGAGAAAGACGTAAACCAAAAAAGAAGAAAAAACCATCATAAGAACAACCCACACAAAATCATAGACCACGTATCCCAAATAGGAAACCAACTAGTTCAGATCCACTGACGAGAGAGAGAGAGAGACACTGAACATGTGCAGCAGAGCTTTACCATGATACCTGTGACTTGATGGGCGGATGGATGATCACATGACTACATGCACACAAAGAGCTACAAGTCACAAGTGCAGCATTCTTTTTTCAAATAACACGCTCAGGCCTGTGCCGTCCCACTCTGGCCTGCTTGGGTCTGGTTTATGGCCAACTTTGGCCTTCTTAAGCCTGCTTCAGAGCAACTTTGGAGCATGTAGAGGACACCAGGGCTGAGATCAATTCACTCTCAGTTCAGTCCTTCAAATAAATTCTTGCACTCATTCATTGCTTGGACTTTTTAGACAGGAAATCATCAACATTCTCTTGGTAAAAACAAAAAAAGAAAGACAATTTCGATATTTTGAAAATATCAAAATCATTTAAACAAGAAGGAATTAATTGAAATCCTGAACAGATTGACATGAAAGTGAACTGACCCCCTCCCTGGTGAGGCGTCAATGAGGATGACTTTGGCTGGTTGGTCAGAGCTGAAAATGTGTTTTGTCTTGAAAAAAGTATACTGCATCTTTAAAAATAACAACAACTAGCCACTAATAATTCGCCCAATAAGATAACAGCAGCTGGATGAGCTGGTTGTTGATTGGTTGTTTACTTACAGGTAATAAGAGTATGAATAGTAGGTCCTCCTGGGGTTGTGAGCCAATCAGAAAGCAAAGAGTGAGACACAAGGGAATATGCAAATTAGGACAAAACTGTCCTGTCTCAACCAGTAACAACAAAAACAGAAGAAAACACCCTTTGATTGCTAAAACTTGAGGGTCATGCAAGGGGTGCCATATTAGCTAAAGTACCTATTTCTTACTAAGAAAAAAAAAGAACCAAAGGCTAACGCTAAATAAATAGTACAAAACAAGCTACGAAACTTGAATAACAACTCACCAATATCAACCTATCACCATGCAGCCTTTCTTTTCTCTTTTCTTTATTTTTTGTGCCATTTAAAAATATTCATGCAGTATTTTAAAACTTTACTTTTTACTCTAACCCGATGGCCCGATTAGAGATTTAACCCTAATCAGCCAATGATCTTTTTTTACGCACTCCTACAAAATGAAAACTAACACAAAGCTATCCAATCTGTAAAACCAGGCAGCTCGCTTCCTGTAAAGCAAGCATGATGTCACTGCAATGTCATCATGTCCCACTATTTTAAAGATGCAGTATTATTGTTCAAAGTCGTAAAGGTTTAATGACAATGAAGATTGATCTCCCCAGAAACCTTTATGGAAGAGAAAACTATTAAATTAAAAAAAAAAAATCACAAAAATCTAGAGCACTAATGATGCATAACTCGTCAAACTTCTAGTAGAAATGTGTGTAAAAATACCAGAATGAACATGTCACTTTAAGTTGTTGCCACAAATTATTTGTGTGTGTTGTAAATGGGAAGTAAATGGGACCTCAGTGTGCTGTCTTTGTGTTGTGATTCAAGCTGCTAAAACATACAGGAGCTCTTGCACTCCTTGTATAAACAGCCTTATTTTATACTATCAAGCATATTTATGTGAAATGCATAACTCCAGATTAAGCTTCAAAGCCCCAACAATACCACATACTAAATCCAATCCAATACTCAAGGGATGAAAAAAGTTAAATGAGTAACAGCAATCAAGCCACTGAGTGCACACAGTGTTTCAAATACTGTTAGATGTGACAAAAATAAACACCCCGCAAAACACAGTGGTAGTAGCTCCTGCAAAACACATTTCAAATGGACCATCTACCCTACACTTTAAGCTCAGCTCCTCTGATCATCACTTACAATTGCACTTTCACACTAAAGCTGCAGCATGGACGCTGGCTCGCATTAATTCATTACGCAAATTAGAAGAAAAATATGGAGGTCAGGAGCCACAAGAGCAAAGTTCTCTGATGATGAGAGATCATTACTGGCTGTGATTTAATGTCTGTAATTGTTTTTGATTTGCTGAGTGTAATTATGATTGGTTGTAACTGAGAGACTCTTCCTGGTTGCTCTCTTAAGGCTTGTGCCAAGATGTAGTCCTTCAATTTTTTCAGAGGAAAGCAAAATCTCCTGAGACGTTTTCTTAAATTGAGGATGAGTCATAATAACTAATAGGTAAGCCAAACGATTAATGTGAATAGTTTTACTGAATTTTCAGGGTCTCTGTTAGTGGAAATTAATTATTCTTAATTATTTCTAATTATTCTTTTTCAAGTGTGCACTCCCTCAACTATTGTAAGTAAAAAGTTAAAATCGCAGAAAAAATGAATTTTTTTTAGGAATTGTTACTTATTACATGCATGCTGGCGCATTTACATAAATTATAAATGCAGATGCAAACACATACACATGAGCACACATTCTCCCAAAAGTAGTCAGACAAAATTTAGCCTAATGGAGCTTCACAGTGGATCCAAGACTAAGAAGATTATATTAAAACGCTGTTTCTTGTCACTGCTTTTCCAACTTTCCAACACTGTTAACGAAATGGTAAAAATCACATTCAGGGATTCATTTATTTCATTAAGGTTCTGATTATCGTCATATTTTACTAGTTTTCAAAAATGTCTTGAGATTATACTATGACTGCAGCAATACTGATGTTGTTGTATACATATGTTTTACTCGTGGTGAATGTGGAAAAGTGGGACTAAAACCATGATATTTCATAAACGCAAGGCAGCTATACATGCATATTCCATGAATACGTCTGTGCATTTTCTCTGTATTTTCTACAAAATCTATCAGAGCTTTATTCTAACTTCTGTCTTCATCTACTGTAAAGATGTACCTATTGTAAAGCATGCTCAGGCTGTAACTGTCACTATCCACCACATAGTGGAGCTCTGCACCAAATTAACAATACAGGCCAAACTGCTACACCGACACATCTCTGGTCTCTGATCAGAGCTATTGTGCTGTACAAGTAAAAGGTTAGATATTGTATGAATCCGTTTACATTTCCCTTAAAATAACAGCACAACTATAAATGCACAAAACCATTTCAGCAAGCATCTTTTCTTCAGTCTGCTTCACCAAAATCTCCACCTTTGTGCAGAACGGACCTAAGCTTTGCTGCTTCTAAACTGACAAACATGATACTGTGTTGATGATTTTGATGAGTTCATTTAAGCGGTTATGATAAAGCAGATACATAATTTCATTTTATATTTACTTAAGATCTTTTGATTGACATTTTCTTTCACTCTACCTTTTCCTACTTTCACTTGAGAAAACAGCTGTAATGTGCAAGAACACAATACATTCAGCTCTGACATTTCTTGTACCAGATCATCAAAAACTAAGACAGCATATTTTAAACATAAAACATTTGGGGGGTTTTCACAAGCCTTTAGCCATTTGGTGGGAAATTAAACTTCAGAAAGCGATTGAACTGGTTCTGAGGGGAGATCAACATTTATGGTGGATGGATGGAAGATGGTGTTACTACAGCAAATACTGGACCAACACACAACAAGAGAATGAACTAAGAGCATATTTGTGTGTGTATGTGTGTGCACGCATGCAAGTTGGTGTGTGCATTCAATATTGGTCTTGTAAATATTTACCCTCTTTAATAATCTTCATTGAGCTGCTTTAGTGAGTATTGTTTGCAGTTGTCACTCACCTCTTCTTAACCAGCAGAATGGCTACCAGCACCAGCAGTATGAAAACGAGAACACCAGCACTAATTCCAGCGATTTTCACCACCCGATCCGTCTGCTTAGCAGGGTCGGGAATGACTTCTGGTTCCTCTGTGGCACCTAAGAAAGATGATGACAAAAGACATCAACAAGATGGGAACACAGTAACTACTAAAGGGAAAAAAGCATTAAAATCACTGTCCAGTAAGAACACACTTGAGATTATTTGTGCATTCCTGGAAGTTTCAAGGAAAACTGAGTTTTCAAATTGTAGGAGAAATAAATAAATAAATAAAACCTCGAAATGTTGCAAAAAAAGGAAAATTTTAATTGCAACGGTATTTAAAGAGAGTTTTAGAGTTTACTGGACAGTAGAGATTAAAAGTATGTTTATTTTTAACTGTTTATTAGCTAACCAGCTCCTGACCAGTTGATATTCTTCCTAGAGACCGGGGTACATATGTTTAAAAAAATGTCTAGTTTCCACCGAAGTAAACGTTTTTAAAAACGAAAATGTTGTGGTCAGGCTCACTAATATTCAAACTCTTTGGAGGTTTTTAGCAGATACACCTATGGTATCACTTTGAAGCTCCTACATCGTGGGTGTCCATGCTGACCACCCAACCACCTGGTGGTGTGATGACAACACCCCATCAGCTTTTTACGACTGAGGGGTAAAAAATAAAGAAGAGGGGAGAAAAGCGCCAACGACTCCTATGTTATGAGTTTCGATGTTGCATATCTTGCCCACCAGAGGACTCTTTTAAACCTCCCAGTTGGCAACATTGAACCCCGCAAACACAACAACCCACTGATCTGCGCGGAGTTGGGCAGAGCATAAGATGAATAATCTATTCAATTCAATTCAATTCAATTTTATTTATATAGCGCCAAATCACAACATAAGTCGCCTCAAGGCGCCTACAACTTGGTCTAACAGCAAATCAAGATTATCTTAGTAACAACTTGTTATCTTAGTAAGGACATATAAATAACTATAATTCGGACTCTTGTGAAAAGCTCCTTTTTGTTTTCAAAACAGCATTCTGAAGAATTAACTAGCCAAATAACACGATCAACCATTTAAGATTTCCAAGAATATACAGCTTTTTCAAACCTAGTCACATCTCTAAACTTATTACTCTGTTGCACTGACTGTAAGGCATATTTTAAAAAGCCCACGTCGCCTCAGGCTAGGAAAGTATACCATCTAAGGAAATATGGTTGTTTTTCTCTTAGGCTGCCTTCACATCAGACAAAATCTAGGTGATTAATTACTAAGGTTCAATTATCCCTGTGCTAAAGTTCAGGCAAATATCAAGCATCTAAATATGCCTTGTAAAGAAAAGTTAAACAGCTGCTAGCACAAATGCCATGGCAACTGTCATTCGAACTGTAAATATAATCAAATATTTCATTTTGGGGGTAATCTGGGTCGCATATTTAAGTACTTAAATCAACAGAAATTTCTTCATTAATATGGTTGCTATGTAATAATGAAACAAAGAGATTGCTTCTACAGCTTGAACTGTATTTGAACATTTTCAGAGCAGGTGTTTTAAAATTGATTCAAGACCAAAAAAAAAAAGGCTATAAAAAGAGATGCATTTCTTGTTGAACTTAAAAATACAATCCTGTAAAAAAAGCAGTGGTAGAGAATCAGTGGAAGCTGACAATGTCCATCCCTGGCCTATACCAGCTTCTATAGCTGGGTCAACTGAGCTAAAAGCACTCACCTTACACAGACATCGGCTTCTCATTTATTTAGTCGCATTATACATGATGGCAAACGTACTACACCGAACTAAATCATCAATCAAATCTGACTCCCAGCAGCAATATTCAAACATTCAAAATAAACATCCCTATAAATGTACACTATAGTAGTGAAAATAACCAACTGAATGTCCATGTGTCTTCTCTGCTGCCTCTTTGGCATCACGGTCTCTTTAGAAAATGCTTTTAAAATGCAATTTAACTGTAGCTGTCCAATGTTTCTGCACCAATGTCACCATATATTGCTTGTAGCCGAACTCATTTCTGCTTCTGATGACTTCAGAGAATTGACTGAACTCCCTGATTTCGTCTGTTTTGGAAAATAATTCACCAGTGACGTTTCAAGCGGAGTGTAGGCTGCAGGGCTTAAATGCTGTTGATCATGGACAGAAAGTCAACAGAAAGACAGAGAGCATCTGTTTTCAGGCTCCCAAGCTCTACTTAGTTGATGTCATCAGAACAGTTCATACTGCAGCGTAAGAACATTATCATGTCTTATGATAATCCAAATAATCCAACTCAGTGACATATGCACAAAATTCAACATAATGCAATACATGCATCAAACAACAACCCACTTCCATTATCAACATAATAAAAATAACACACAAGAATAAAACATTTTTAGTAATGCCTTGACTTCCACAGCCCCACATCAGTCTTAGCACCAAACCAATTAATTCCTAATGTCACTCAACCTAAAGTAAATAGGGTCTATTTTGAGGCCTATTTTCATTGGTGGATAAATACCTATTTGGTGCTTCAGTGAGTTTTTACAGCATCGGGATGGTGTTTGTGTGATCAATCCAAAATAAAATACAATACCCAAAGCAGTGAGGGATCATTGTTGCTCACTAATGTGATTTTAATAGTTTTGGAGCCTGGGCAGCAGAGCTCCATCACACAGAAAGACTAGAAGAGCCAAGGCCAACGCCCTCCCTCCATCACAATTATCAAAAAAAGCAACCCAGACCTGCACCAAAACGTAATGGATTCTTCCTTCATCTGTCATGTTTTATGAAATTTGGACTAGTAGTTTTTGTGTAATTTTGCTGACAGATGAACAAACAAACAGAAACAGCATACCTCTATCTCAGCTCTCTGTCCCGGCAGAGGGATGAGATAAATCAAGCTTTTACTATGCAGCCAATACTTACTAGGTTTATTTATGGTAAAAAGTAAAAATCAAGATATTTGAAAACAGAGAATGCTTAAACTGATTATGCAGAAAACTAAGTGTAAAGTTTTATGTTGTTTATATAGCTTAACCACAGCTTGGCATAATGACATTATATTGTCTTTTTTTCTAATTTTGTGATTTTTCTTTTTTTGCACTTCTATACCAGCAAATAAAGGGCACTGCTGAGTAGCTACAAAATCTGTTCATCATCTTAGTGCTGATGTACGAAGGCCAAACTTTATTTTAGATGACTTCCACATGGAACGTCTCACTTCATATAACTATCCAACCAAGAGACTATTAGAAGATCACACAGATAAAATATGTCCAAACAAGACACACCAAAACAACAACAATAATCCTTTAAGGGTTCTCAGCCTAACCTCATAATGTCTGCGGAAGCTCTTAATGTGTGTAAAAATGATTCAGGTCAGTACACTAACACTCACAACTTGCCTGCACACAGGCGCACAAAACGCCCTGCGGCAGGAATGACAATACACAATACCCCAAATGACCTACTATGACCACCATCACTTAATCCTCCCTCCCGGATGCATGGTTGAATGCACATAAACACACATGCAGAGAGACGGAGAGAGTAAAGAAGACACAGTGGTCTGACCTCTCGATCCATTAGTGTGTTGGTCTCTCTTATTATAAAAATCTGAAATCCCCTCTAAAGTCGTTCGGCTTCACTCAGACCTCCCTAGGCTAGAAAGACAGTGTCATTTTATTTTAGCAGCTTTTGGGCAGAGTGACCACCTGTTCAAGAAACTGCAACCACCAGCAATTCTTGAAGTATATGACCCTGCAGAGTTAGTGATTTCACACATTTTTGCCTATTTTAGTGTGCAAACGTCCCACCTATGAGACAACTTTCTCACCCTGTACTCTTTGATGTAAGGAGAACAAAAGTGAACTTGTATTATTTGTAGGGCTTTCTTGATGAAGAGGCATTTTTTATTTTACTCCAAAGAAATCCAATTTTAATAAACCTGACACTTGGAAAAGCACCACACGCCACAGAATTTAAAGTCTGAGCTAGTTTGGAATGCCCTCTCTCAATGGGTCCACATATAAATACTTAATCAACTTAACTTAACCAGCAATGATGATTCATTCTATGATCATTAAGGCTGATTGTCCTCAAAATGATGTCACTTTTATTGAGTAGCTTTATGAGGTGTCTGCACTTGAAGGTCAAAGAAGAGAAGTTCAGAAAGGCATTACACTCCACCTTGCTTTCTTGCTACAATAATGCACATTGTGCAAGAAAAAGGACGTAACTCATGAACTGATTCTATTTCCGATCTTATTAGTTTTCTGCGATATCTGATGTAAACCTTCTACTTATCACAAGCTTTCATACTGATATTAAAAAGTACACCAAAATAACAAAAACACTAGAATAATCTATGGAGATTAATGAAGCTTGTAATTGCTTGAGAGCATCACCTTAACTACACAATAATAATACTTCTAAGTTTCTGCCATGCTTTAAGGAATTATGTTCTGCTTTAATCTTTAATAAAGCAATAAAAAGAAGATTAGTGAACTAATAATTATTTCCTCTTAAAATTGCTGTATCACTACATTTGTGTTGTCATAAAAACAAGAAAAAACTGGTGTGAAATAATTATAGGGCAGTTATAGTTTTAGCAAAAGTGGGAACATTTTGTATTCATTTAAATTTTACCTTGTAGTTCTACATTACAAGTCGAATAAACACTGAAATGCCTGCGCAGTCATTTGAAGCTCAACTCTGCTGGTTACACAACAGTGTGAGGATGTCAGTTTCATTCAAAATATAATGTGTTTATCCTTATTCCTACTCCACACAGATAAACTCTGATCCATCAGCCGCATTTCTAAAAATCTTTCCTCAAAATAGTGTGTGTGCATTTTTGTGCACATGCGTAGTGCCCGGGGATTAACTCCACACCGTTTAAAACCATCTGATAATCTATTAACATGGCAAAAACCTGGTAAAACCTAAAGACCCGACATTTAGACTCAGTGCGCACCAACACACATTTCTTTCAATGCCATGCACAAGCGCAATACTGTTTTCTGTAATGCTCTTAAACCAGAAACAATTTCCATTTGACAAACCTCCATGGGAATAAAGGGCAGACCAGAGGAAAAACACAATAATAAACTGATTAAGGATGGAGTAAGCAAATTTTTTTGGTATCATTGGACCAAAGAAATGCTTATAAACCTTTTAGCATATTGTGGGAAATAAATTCGTGCACCTCCCCTCCACTCCGATTTCACTCTTTATAAAGGCTGGCTTGTAACAAGAGACTTTGGCCATTCACAGCTGGTCTCTTTAGATCAGATCAGAGTAGTTTAGAAAACAAAAAAAAACTATGTAATGGGAATAAGAGCTTCATTGGACTCATGTGAGTATTTTCAGCTGGGAAAGTGGGATTTTAATTCCATATGAATTCCAAAGTCAGCAATGACTCACTTTAAAACAGAAGTGTAAGAAGTATGTGAATGGGTCCGTGCTTGTCTGGTGGGAGGAGGATAGAACAAAATAGCAGAGCTGCAAGAGCTGCGTTCCCCTTAGATTTATGCCAAACCCTTGAAGGGGACCTATTACACTCCAACACTTTACTCTTGGACTCTACTACACCAACATTACATTGTTCGAAATCCAAATATTCCACATTTCTCTAATGCTGGGACCTGGCATATCCCCTCAGTTCGTCTGTTCTTACACTGCAGTATCAACTATTCTGATGCGATGACATCAGTTAAGTAGAGCTGAAGCTCCTATTCCTAAAGACCACCCTCTTTTTAGGCCAACTTTCTTCTGCCCAGGAGTTGCAGGATTTTTTTGTCTTTTTTTGACAAAATATTTTGAAAATATTTTTAGCATTGAAGCTGTTCCTAAGAGTTAAATTAAGATACTGTTAAGGTCAAATGGGTTCTTACGTTTAGCTGCCAGCCTCAGACACTGTGTCTTTGTTTCCTGTGGAAAAAAAGACAGAAGGAAGAAACCTTAGTTCCACTAACACACTACAACACGAACCTTGCTCTTAGCGTTTAATATTAAATACTGTACATAATGAGTGTACAGAAGCTGTAACATAATGTAAGTCTATGAGTGCGCCTTTTTGAACCCCATTCAAAAAAATTAAATACACAGCCTACCCTCTCTGTACTGCTGACAGCTTGAAGATAAATGTTGTAGTTCTTCCTTGGAGCCAGAGGTGGATTCCAGAAACCCTGAGGAAAAGAAAGAAGGATCAGTTCACACATGTCTACGATACATTTACAGATTTACAACAAGCAATTTAACTTTTACACTTGGCTGAGAAGGATATCGATATGTAAACATTCAAGTTATGTAGCCTTTAAAAAGTATTGCATACAATTTCTATGAACTTTAAGTCGTATCGTTTTTAAAAATAAAACCTCCTGCATAACAACAACTGCCTTCTAGTTCCAGTGAATGTGTTGTGCTGCAATTTACTTCTGTATTTCAGAATTTTTGATAAACACATCTTTTCAAGGCATTACATACATACGGTTTTGTTCAGATTAAAGACTTGCCTGATACGTCTTGTTGTCTCCCACAGTAAAGGGAAGTGGTTCAGGCAGGCTGCTGGGGGACAACTGGGCGGCATAATAATAAGGGGATCCACCGCTAGATGCACTGTGGTAAGAAACTGGGACCTGGAGAAGATGAAGATACGTCTATAAATGTAACTTCAATTAAATGTAAATAAAAAGAGGTATTTCAATAGCAGAGTCAACAAAGCCCATTAATGGAAATGTATTGTTATTTTTTATTCAACTTCAACCATTTACGCTTATAAGAAAAGCTGTAAAAGGGGCATGGGTTTTCAAACATACGTAAAAAGGATTAATAACCACCTGATAACAGTCAGACGAAGCCTGACGGCGTGTCCGCTGAGGATTCACTTCTTCCACCACAATCTGGTACGCACTGTAGACATAGAGACAATATGAGTACAGATATAATTTTGGTTGTTATTATTTTACTAACACACACATGATTAGTGAAAAGCCTTTGACTGCTTTTGTCATGTGATCTATCCAGTTTAACAGATAACAGAAGTGCTGTACCTTATGGGTGCTCCCTTAGCCTGGGCAGGTTTGAGCAGGACAGTGATAGTTGTTGCAGTTTCATTCAGGAAGGCCTCTTGACCATCGTACTCGTCTATTGTCGGAGCTGAAAAGAGAATATGAGGCTGCATAAGTGTAGCTCTAACCTCTTGCTGTCTAAATGTGATATTAAAAATTTTTGAGTCAACAGCACATATTTAAATGTATTTTTTCCACCTGAAATATTAGTTGTCACATTGAGCGTGGTTGCAGGACCAAACCCTTTAGAGGTCGATGCTCGTATAGACAGCTGGTATGTGACACCTGGGTGGAGCTGAGAAAACATGTGATGGGAGGCGTTTGAAGGCAGTGACACTGTGAGCCCTGGTCGTTGCAGAGGCACCGAAGGGTCAAACGAATGCACGCCACTGTAGCTGATCTGAGTTGGAGTAGAGAAAGCGAAAACATTTTTTATTTTTTTTTATTTGTTTATATTTTTCCAAAGGATTGCTGTGTTAAGTTTGGCCTCTACAACAGCTGCTAATGATAGTACCTCATACTGTATAATGACTCCATTGGGTTCAGTTGGTTCCTTCCAGGAAAGACTTATTGTTTCTTCAGATGGAGTAGCTTTAAGTGACTGACTGGGAACTGGACCAGGAACTGTTAACACACATAAATTCATGCAGTTCTAATAAAATCAACAGTATAATGTTCTGCAAATGAGAAACCAACTGCTAAACAGAAATACACAGATTGAGAACAGGCAGCAGTGACATTCCCAACACATGCAGAAACGAGTTACAGATACTCAAAACACCCTTTGTACAAAACTCCATCCCTTATTGAAAAGTTTGCTTTATAAAAAAATACATAAAATGGATAAAAACGTTTGAAATGGGGAAAAGAATTTAAAAAAGGTGTGATATGTGTATCGTACCATCTTCATCGGTTTGTATGATGGTCTCATCACTCTCTTTCCGTCCCTCCGGATTAGTGAGAATCATTTTCAGGCTGACGTTGGTGTAGGGCGGCAGGTTCCCCACCAGGTGGCGTGGTGCTAAGAACAAAAATGGGGTCAACATAAACACACTGCAGAGTAAAATGTCATAACATTTGCAATGTATTTAGGATCAAAACCAATTTTTCTCACTCATTAATCTGCTGCTGATTTTATAATGATCTATGTAATGTAAAATCAGAACTTAGTGTTTTTAAATGTATTGTTAGGTGTGAGTACCGGTAATAGTGTGAGAGCTAAAGGCAGTTTACCACTTGTTTGCTTTCACTGTAAAGCCTTATATTTCAAACGAAGGAACAAGAGAGCTGTTGTCATCTGTCTTGAACCTAAATATGTAATTGATTATGTAAATATTGGCTATCACATTTCTGTCAGTCAGCTACTACATTTATTGACTAACGGATCAATAGCTGAGCAGGTCAAACTGAGTGTATGAGAGACATGACTTCAACCAATAATTAATTATTCGTTTTTCAGGGAATGATTCCAACTACTGTACCTACAACCTATGTCCATTCCAATATTCTTCAACATCAGTGCTTCTGATATTATGTCTGGCTTCAAAATGAAGTGGTTGTCAATACTAGTGTCAAGCTCACTGTGAATAAATGATCCACTCAAATTTGAAATCTCGTTGAAAGCAGACACCTTTTTATTATACTAAATTTCAGCACTTTTAGGGTTGTTACTTTATCAAGTCTTTTTGTACGTCTTTACCCATGTCACAATGAATAAAAAGCAATGTAACACTAGAAAACACCACGACTTCAAATCCTGCATCAATGTCAGTAGCACAGTACAGTAGCACCTTTAAGGTAGGAAGAAAAGTAAGTAGTACCTTTAGGGTCCATGTCCAAACAGTCAGCTTTGCTACGATCGTTGGCAGTCATGTAATGGTAACAGATGGTAACGTTAAAGGTGTGACAGCGGGTGATGTTGTAACCCAGCGATTCCCAGTCCACTGCGATCAAACGCGACCTGGTCTCAGCAATCTTCAGCCTTTTAGGAGTTCGCATAGGTTCTACAAAATAAGAGAAGAAAGAAGATCTGTGATCTATACATGTTGATATAGATCTATATTTTTTCCAATACTGCAACACTCTAATTGCATCCACAGGTAGGACAAAAAAAACCCAAATTATTATGCTTTAAGTAATTAACATTTGAGGAAGCTTTTGAACTACTGCATTTCCATGAAGTAACTATGTTGCCAAAATGACCAAGAGGTCTGTGTCAACATTTTTCCTCACTGGACTTTACAAAAACCTATTTCTTCACCACCCTTGTCAATCAACTATTTCTCAAAAGCAATAGCTTCCATAAGGACACGTGGTTTTTTTCTGTCTTTCATGTGTATTCAGACTGTTATTGTCAATATAATCAACTTTCCCTCCTCGGTGCCCAGGGCTTTAATTACCTTAACTGGCTCATTTAGCTGGATCAATAATCCCAGAGTGCCTACACACACACACACACACACACACACACACACACACACACACACACACACACACACACACACAGCCACAGAAGAGACTATAATCACAAGGCTGTGCTATTCCTCCTCTACATTCTGCATGCAAGAGTCCTGCCTGTGAGTCCACTATATGCCAGGGAGTACATTTAAATACATATATTTCTACCTGCTTTCTGCTGCATTCACCTTAAAAGCCTACCTCAGATACAGGAAATAGCATTCAAGCTATGTGGCTATCAATCCACAAGATATTGCTTTCCTTTGGAAAACAGAAGAAAGGTAATATCTTTAAGCGCCACCAATTGCTGTCAAAGAGTTATTTCTCCTTCTAACTAGAGAAGATATCCATCAGTCAAGGCAGATTCCAGAGGATGTAACAGTCTATTGAAATGCCTCTGCCACTCTACCATCTTCCAGAGTAAAGCATGATAAATATTTTTGAACTGAAGCACAATATAGCTAGCAGCTTGGTGTATCCTCATAGATCTAAATCACTAATAATATGTCACTAATAATTTATTTATTACTAATAATTTATTATATAAATAGACTTTTAATCCTAATGGGTCAACCACTTGAGAAAGGCGGTGAAATACAGTACACTTCCATGTTGCAACACTCTTCAAGTATCTTATCCAAATGCTTGCTATTTTTGATTAATTTGGTAAATTCAGGGACTTTCTGTTCTGGATATTTTAATCAGTTCTCGATGTTATAATCAAAATTATCTTTCTAATCAGGCTCAGTACTTCCAATACTTAAGAAATGCCTTGATTAACTCTGATATTGATTGGATGCATTGGTCTTTGAAATCGCCAGAGTGAAATACATTACTGGGAAACAAAGACAAACTTAATGAAAAGCTTTGTTCTTCGTCAAAAATTGAATTCACGTTGATAAGTCTATCACCTGTTGATGTTTTATTCCTCTTTTATCCAGTCTAGCTGTAACCCACCTGATTCCTTATGTCCTCCCAAGATTTTTTAATAAAAACAGCTCACCTTAAATAGAGACGCACGTCTCTCCCCAACCCCTCCTTGTCTTGCTCTGTGTTTTTCCCTGGGTCTTCCTCTTTCAGAGGAGACTACACAAGGACACAAACTTGTCGCTTCTTCTGACAACCCATTATCTGCCTGTCACTCACACACACACACATGCACGGAAGCTCACAGGCACCTACACACACACACACACACACCCACTCACACTTTAGATTGTGACTGAATCAAGATTAAATCTGGGCAGAGCATTTATAGGTGTGTTTGTGTGTGCGTGTGTATGTGTGTTCATCTCAGTAAAACTTCTCATAATAACAATTCATTGTCAAGGACAAACACACAACTCTTACATACACTCAACAACACAAAATGCAGTCATGCTAATGTTTGCGTAATCCTCTAAACATAAATATGTCACTAATAATGTGACAAACAGATGGACAGAAAATGAGGAATAGAAGAAGACACAGGGGAAGAAAGGCTGTGCAGGTAATTGTCTGCTGAGAAAATATTATTGCTGAACAGCGTGTGTGTTAATAGCTGAGGGGTCGGAGCATTTCATTTTTGCTTCAACCTGTTATTGGATGGTTGACATTTAAATAGAGCAAGACAGAGACCACTGGTTTCTCTGCCTGTCTCTCGCTTTGTTTCGCTGTCTTCCTCACTTGTCTCATTCTCTTCTCTGTGTCTCTCTCCCTGTTCAAATCAATAGTTGTGATCCTCACTATAAAACAAGCTATTATGACACACAGGTGCATACACACACGCACACACATGCTCACAGTTAGGGCAGTGTAATAAATTACATTGATTTCAGGGTCTCTTGATGCTAACACTGCTTCACAGTAAGACAGTCTTCCACGTGGAATGAAAACAAAATATATGACTGGCTGCCTGTCACACAAACACACATGCACACAGTGTCATATTTCCATCACTTCAGGGGGCATTACATTCATTTCCTGGAGACTTGCCCTAACCTACCATCATAACCAGTTACCCAACCCTAACATTAGGCCCTATAATTTCAAGATTTATTATACTGGGACTTTGTGTCCCCAAATGGGAGGTGGTTCCCCACAATGTGAATGTGTAAACAAATTTATGTGTCTTTAACACCCACACGCACCATGACTTTTTTGAAAACCCATTACCCTATTGACTTATATTGTATTGCTGCTTATCTCTATTTATAGTGGAAGCAGGTAGGGAAAGAAAGAGAGAAAGAATGAAAAAAGAAAGAAAGAATAGTGGCAGAACAGAGCAATATATGGACAAAAATGAAACTGGGTTTGAAGAAAGCGAGGAACAGATAAAGGTAGCAGAGAGAGAAAAGGGAAACGGAGACAAGAGACAGAAAGAGAGAAAGAGAGAAACAGAGGTGGAACGGGGAACGACGATAACTCGTCTGGAATACAGCCAGAGTCAAGCGGGACCAGGTCCAATGGCAAACCACAGAGGCTGCCTTGTCCCTTTCCCCCTCCTTTTGGTAGACAGACAAACGGCTGGATTCATGTTGGAACTAAAAGGCTTTGTTCTCTACAGATGCAGCTTTGAAAACAACAACAATACCAATAAACACTAACAATAACACCAACGACAGAAAGCTTCATATCAGCAGAATCCAGAGGTTGGAATTAAAAAAATGGAAAACAAAAGCAAAGGAAATGAAACTAAATGAAACAGAACTATGCTAAAGGCAACCAAACCATGTCCCTCAACATGAGGTATTAGGAAGAGCCAACAAACACAGCCATAAAGCCATTGTGAGAGGAGATGAAGCTGAAGAAAAAGCAGAAGAAAAGAGGAGAGGAGGGGCTGGAAAAGAAAAGGTTGACAGGAGATGCAGCTAAAGCCAAGTTAATCTGTCCAATTAGTTCCTGGTAATCCTTCCACTGTCATAAGTAAGACAAATGAAACTCCATCCATTTATTCTGTCTCTAACTCTAATTTCTCTCTGCATGTGTGCTTCTCTTTCTAGGCCACATTTAAGTACTTAAAAGGTTCAAATTTGCCCTCCAACATGTTTTCAATTTGCACTTGGAAGCTACATGGATTTTGAGAGGCTAATTATGAAAGCAGCAATTAAGTCCAAAAAACACTATCCATACAGTGCCGTGCGAGTTGTTTCAAATTATGAGGCTGAGAAAAATAAATGGAAATCCAGCTCGTGTCTGATGATTAAAAAGACATGCATGAGTTAAATTCAAAAGCAATTCAAACATAAACGCGAAGCAAAGAGGGAGGAGTCCACAAATGTCTTTTAAAGGGTAAAGTTGGCTCTGTTCTTTATTCTTCTTATTACCCATAAAACTCAACATTACTAATACCAATAACACCTCTTAGTACTTTCACCTTTTGGCACAGTTCGAACATTAGTGTGGTGTGGAACTGACTCAGATCAAACTACAAAGCACATGCTCGTGGAAATGAGGCCATCCAACTTGCAGGATTCATTAATAGGTAATTAGTTGGTTTTATACTTTTCACAGAAATGGTTTCACAGAAACAGCAACCAGAACCTCAGTGATGTAGTATCTCCTCCGTCTCACAATCCATATGGGTCACAAATGTGACCATGACATTCACCTTGTCTGGCTGCACTACAATCTGGCCAACACTCCAGGAGGAGTGCCCTTAAACTTGCACAGTTTAGGTGATCATAAAGGAGCAGTGATTCTGGTTAATTGCAGATGCACTGCACGAGCATGAGCACACGCTAAAAGTTTAATTTAATTCACCAGACCTGCTTATCAAGAGTCCAATCATATTAACTCATACAAAATAAAGATGATGACAGTACACTTTAAAAAGCAGTGTATTTTAAAGTGTCACATTATTGCAACAAAATCTCAAAAATGGAATAAAATCACCTTTCATGCAGTGTTTTAGCTCATATTTTCACTGTTTTGCCACAGCGCACAGAACATGTTGCATTTTTTTTATGAATTTCATTAAATTTAATTTAAAAAATGTCTTCTGAGCATGTGACATTTTTGGTTTAGGAACTACAGAATCTCGTGGCGGTCGCAAAGCACTTTGTACGCAACACAGCTGAAATCTATCCATGAAAAACTGACCCCTGCAAATAAGAGACCCTCCGTTAGATTAAAAAAAACAAACCATTTGCCAGACGAATGTGGACCCACACAGACAGAACATTACTGTAAAACTGACATGCACAGCAAAACACGCTCTGTCGCTAAATCTGTTGGCTGCTCTTTCAAGAGACTGACACTTAAAAGTGTTGTACTGCTGGTGTGTGTGTCTGTGTGTGTGCATATTCACATATAAAAAGAAGTACATATGACATAGTGTGTGTGATTCCCTGCAGCATCTGTGTTTGTGTGTCTGGAAATGTGTTTTGTGATTCTATTCTTCCATAAATCCAAGCGATGCTGAGCTTGTGCAACATATGAGAAATACTGTGACTCTCTTGAACTGCGTGTGTGCTCAAGCCTCAGCAACTACGATTTGTGTGTGTGTGTGTGTGTGTGTGTGTGTGTGTATCTAACCTCCCATGACCAAGAGGTTTTCAGCAGAAAATTCAGGATTTGGATTAAAAGCTACTTCATCACCTTCTTCTGTCACACACACACACGCACGACACACACTCACTAACCCTTCAGTTCAAGTTGATTATATTTCACCCTTCAGACAAGAGCAATACATCACCACAGAAGAAAAATCGAGAAGAGTTGGAGAAGAGAGACAGAGAGAGCGTGAGAAAGAAGCGGGGACAGAGGAGAAAAAAATGTAAACGGAAGAGATGAAAAGAGACGTGAGGACAAAAGAAGAGAGGAAAGGAGGAGATGAAATCCTTCCTGTTATCATATCAATTGCTCAGCAGTGTGTGTGATGTCTGCTCAGTTTTTTATTAACTATATTGGTTTTTTAATTAAACAGTGTTTCGTGTGGTGGCACGCTTGGGCTGATGCCTGATGCTTGTGTGTGTGTGTGTGTGTGTGTGTGTGTGTGTGTGTGTGTGCATGTCTTCATCATATTGTATTAAACTAAATATTCAGTAAACTACAGGTGGTGGGATCAGACAAACCTAACCAAACAGAAAAAGCAAAGGAGTCATTACCATTTAAATAACATTCCTACCCCGTGCCTGTGTGTGTGCCTCACTCTAACAACAAACACAAACACACACAATCCAACTCCAAGGGTGTGTGCACATTTGCATGTGTGTGTGGATAATCTCAGTTACGCTGGAAACACAAAGGGAGAAGGTGGGGAGATTTAACTAAAAACATCAGCATATTATTCAAAATATAAGTAACGGTGCCAAATCATACACTGTATATAAAAGGTGCGACTGTGACCTCACATACTGATTTGTGGACGACCATTAATTTTCAATTCAATTCGATTTTATTTATATAGTGCCAAAGCACAACAGCAGTCACCTCGTGGCACTTCATACGGTAAGGTAGACCCCCTACAATAATAGAGAGAACCCAAAAGATCAGATGATATGGTGTGATTGAAGCTAGACTGCAGTGGGAAAGAAAACCTGGCAGAACCAGGATCAGTTGGGGCAGCCATCTGCCAGGACAGGTTGGATCAGAAAGCGAGTCAGAAAATTATAACAGATATTTTGAATGTCACCATTTTATTTTGTTTTTTTGAGTGATCTACGTAAGGACAGTGTGTGCTGGTACTGTTTGACTTGCCACACTCTAAATCATATTGTCTTTTTTACTCAAAAGTAGACTTTAATTTACAAAATTACACTATTTTGCATTAAATAAGACCTGCAACTTGTAACAGAAAGCATAAACTAGTCATAAAAGACTATGGAATGAATTTATTTGACTGTATATTAGCGAGATGACTTTTGTGAAACCTCAATTTATACAGTGACAAAAGTAATATTTTGTTTTTGTGCAGAACCACATTACTTTTCTTTATAATTGTAACACAGGAATTTGACCTCTTCGCTGGCCTTGACACTGAAAGTACTCGCCTAATGTCTTTCTTAATATCAGATTCCACTCTATGGCTCTCATAAAAAGTATTTTTCATATCCCTGTTTCTCTCATTAAAGGAGCATTTCTAAATTGCCAGGTTTAGTTTCTCAGCTGAACTGGAGAAAATTGTTCATGCATTTGTCTCAGCGCACCTAGATTGCTGTAATGCTCTATATACTGGATAAATAATCTCTTACAGACCTCCAAGCTATACAAAAAGCCATTGCCAGACTACTAACTCGTTCTACTAGGTGAGATCAAATTGCTTATTTTATACTTTCCACATTGGTTCCCAGTAGATTTTAGAATTCATTTTAAAATTCTTGTATATGGAACATAAATGGACAAGCTGCAGATTTTTTACAATTTTTTTTTATCTCAGAGTCTTATTAAACACACTTCTGCTCACAGTCTTTGGTAGCTAGTTGTTCCACATATGAAACTGAGAACTGGGAAGACACAGAGCCTTTCAGTTTGTGGCAGCTAGGCTTTGGATCATTCTCTCACTCAACTTCATTTAGCTGATTCTGTGGACTTCTTTACAAATCTGTTAAAAACGTAGTTGTTTACAATGCTTTCTGTTGGGATTATTTGGTGTACAGAAAATGTAACATCCACAGCAAAGATTAAATACCAGTCAGAAGCATGCTAGCTAAGCTTAAAGGCTGAAAACACGTGAGAACAGCCTGCATGCATCTGTCCAAAGGTAATCTACCTATCAGCAAACAAAAGTGGCTCATCTTTTAGTTCCCTGTTCAATGAAAAGGTCTTCAGTATTAGATCTCTCGTTTCATCCAACTAATCTAATTGATCTGAGGAATGTTTGTTCATAAGGACATTTGCTGCACTGCTACTGTCTGAAATGCATTTGATGAATAACTACATGCCAGGAAGTCCTTCTAAAAATCATAAAATATTAATGCCTTAATATCAAACATCATAATACACTACAGTTTTTTACAGTCAGGAAAACAGAAAAAAAATCAGATGTACAGGATTAATTTTTTTTCTTTAGTCTCTAAATTCATAATCGCATTTTCTAGATTTGGCCTGTTATCATCATATTACGTAGATTACAATGAGTTTACGTCTTTACCAGCAATGTGTTCCAGCATGAATGAGGAGAAGAAGATTAATTTCCTCTTCCTGTCAAACAGGAAACTGTTCAATACACGAGTCGCCTGAACAAGTCTATGACTTCCTCTCTGTCAATAAACAGACACCACATACGTGCAGATCCATTCATTGTTAAACACACACACACACACACACACAGGTTGGCACACATCAGTCAGACCCTGTGGTTATGAGTTTTCATCTCTCTTTCATTTTTATTCTCCAGTTTCATCATTCTCTCGCCTCTTGCACTCTCTCGCCCCACTCTCATTCTCTCTTCTCTTTCTTTTCCAGCCTTATTGTTTTTCATCATCTCTCCATCGCTCCCTTATTCTGTTTCTCATTCAAGCTCATTGCTTTTATTTCTGTCTCTTTCTCTCTCATATCAACCCTCTCTCTCGCTCCTGCTCCGTCTCTCTCCCTCAGGCTAGCTGTGTTTATATTTCAGTCGTTTATTTCTACAAATGTCAGACAGTGTTTCTGCCCTCCGTCTATTGATCCACAGAGAGCGAAAGATGGGGAGAGAGAAGCAGGGAGAAAAGGGGGAAAGGCAGTGAAAAAGAACGAAGCAGAAAGAAAGCTATAGAGAAGGCACAAAGGGAGGTATGAAAGAGGAAGAGTAGCAGAGAGAAAGCAGGAATGAGGTGACAGAAGTATAGAAAAAAACAGCATAAAAAGTGATAGAAAGTGCAGAGAGCCTCCAGTGTTATAATCACTCTTTTGCGCAGATCACTGAGCAACCAAGAACTGACTCAGGCTCTCCCCTCCTTTCTTCTCCAATTCCACCCCTCGCTACACCTCTCCTCTTCCTGCCTGCTCATTGTACAAATATCACCCTACCAACTAAAATATATATACCAAGACAAAAAGAACAGTAGATGGACAGATCGATAAATAATAAGACAAGCAGAAAAAAGCCTGTGTGATCAAGAGGGACCAATTAAGTAATGACATCTGTGACTTCTTGCTAAACCTGGCTGATCTTCTTTTAGGAGAACATACATAAGGAAGGACTCTATTGACAAGGGAGAGTCTCTAATCACAAAATCAATACATTGAATCCTAACTCTTCTATGTTAACATATTGCAGCTGTCCTACCTGCACATTTGGTCCGAGTAATGAGCGGCGGACCAGGTTTCCCGGTACCTCCCTCTCCTGGTCTGGTCAGTAAGACCCTGATCTCATACTCTGTGTCTGGGTCAAGATGCCATAACTTGTAGTTAGGAGAGTTCACAGCATGAGTCTCTGTCCAGCTGCCAGATGTCATACGGTACTCAACCTATTAGAAAGAATAGAAAGTATTAATCCGAACATCAATATTAATGTCAGTGTCATATGATAATCTCTGGAATACAAAGGTTTCCTCCATGACCAGATACCATGCTTCTGTTTATGACTTATAACCTTGTGAAAATATGCAAATGACAACTTGTAATCATGTTTTTCCTTATTTTCTTTCATATGCTGGTAAATTGCTGGATGTACATACTAAGCATGGCAAAGAAGAAATCAAGAAAAATAATCCCTGTGAACCAGACGCTTGTCTCCATTTTTAGACAATTTTCTATGATGTAAGTGAAGGTGGATATCCACAACAATGTTCTCTCAGTCACATGACTGGTGTGAGCACAGAAACAAACCTATAGTTTAAGTGTTTTATTTGCAAGAGGCAGACAATCAGAAGAAAGCTTAGAGGTCAGCTTTCTTCATATAAGCTAAATCGGAATTATTCATGTGACTTAGAAGCCACCTGTTTTCCTGTAAGATTATAAATGGTAATTGTTATGGTCTTTGTTAAAGGTTTGTTAAGTAATTACATAATTTGTTAAGTTTGCATGACTACAATGCCCCAATTTACAATGTTAAAATGTTAAAAACATCCAGTACTTCAAGACTAACGCACCTCCTTTAGTATTATAGGTCCATCTCCAAATATGGAGTTAGCATTGAGCTGAATTAGTAGATAAGTGGGACCGACACCGAGCAGCTGAGGTGGTGCAATTGGGTGCGGAGG